CGTCCAGGAAGCACAACCTCATGGGCAAGGCTCATGTAAGTTGAGAGTAGTGGTCAGTGCAGAATGTGTGCGTCTGGGAAGCATGCCCTCACGAACGACACTTGTTAGAAAGCCGCCTCCAACTCTTTCCATCCATAGTCTGGCATTATGCGTCCGGGACGTACATGCACGGCCCCTAGGCCTTTTCTTGCCCTCTTTCTTGCACCTCTTTCTGTGTCTTCCCTACACTCGCTCTTTGTACACTCTCCCTAGGGCTTTCCCTGTGGCCTTTCCTACGGCCTTTCCTACACCTTTCCTACAGCCTTTCTTATGATTTCTCCTACAGCCTTTCCTACACCTTTTCTACGGCCTTTCCTACGGCCTTCCCTAGGGTTTTCCCTAGTGGAATCCCCTACCTAGTCTTCCCTACCCAGTCCCATTAACCTAACCTAATCTGGACAGGTACTCCTGCGTCAGAACAGTGGAGGTGGTCAAGTCGGTACACCTGACATATTGGGAAGCGATCCGAGTCACAGATCGTCACATTGTGTGCGAGTTGGAATACCAATGTCTGGGGTGCATCGTCGGTCCTTGCGACAGCGTTCGAGAAGCCTACAAATCGACGAGGTCGTCAACATGCGGACAGACTGTACACAACGGTTGACTAGGCCGGCATCTTCAGCGCATACAACTTCGCGCCCGAACATCTGTTAGAGGACAAAATGTCCCATATCGTATTCCATGTACGCACGTTGCCACTACACGGTGTATGCGTACATGCCCAGCCCATCTCCACTTGTCGGTGCTCCGTCATTAGGACCCTTGCAACCTGGTTGGGAGAACCTACAAAACTCGCTGAAGCGAGCATTAAGATGGAACGTGACCTTCTCGCTAGCGACGCGGGAACTGCAGCCTGAAATAACAATCTTATTGCCGCAGATGTTCAGATCTCATGCTTCTGAGAATGAAATAGCACGAAGACAAGTGCTTCTTCTCTCACGACACTCCAACAGCTCCCGACGGCCGGTAGATGATATATTGTACGGTACGTCGCAATGCATGCGCCCTCAACATACTCGTGCAGCTCACCATGGCCATCAAGCTCTACGGCTTCCCGCCCTCACACGCAACGCGCCGCGTTGCGCTCATCTTCAAGGAGCTCGCCCTCCCGTACGAGCTCGTCCCTGTCGACATGCTCAAGGACGAACACAAGGCTGCGCCGTATCTTGCGCACCAGCCGTTTGGCCAGGTGCCGTACATTGACGACGGAGGCTTCCAGCTCTTCGAGAGCCGCGCGATCGCGCGCTACCTTGTAACGAAGTACGGCGGTGCGGGGCAGACACTGCTGCCAAGCCGCGCGGACGTAGAGGCGTCGGCGCGCTTCGAGCAGGCGGCGAGCGTTGAGCTGAGCAACTTCGACCCGTACATGAATGCGCTTTCGTGGGAGGTAATCTTCAAGAAGTGCGTGCCCGCAGTCAGCCATTCCCTCTTGAACGTGCTGATGCTGGTGCTACAGATACGCTGGGGGCACAACCGACGAGGTCGTCGTCGCCAGCCTCGTCCAGACGCTGAACAGCAAGCTGGATGCGTATGAGATCCTGCTGTCGAAGTCCAAGTACCTCGCCGGTGACGTGAGTGTGCTCTGTTCTCACAGAGCCGCCGGCATGGGAATGACCTCGCTTCGTGTTCCCCAGACCATTACGCTGGCAGATCTGTTCCACCTGCCGTTCGGGAACACGCTGGGACTCATGGGTTATGACCTTCTCACGACCGAGTCCAGACCAAATGTCGCCAGGTATGCACCGAGTTTTGTTCATATATGGTCATTTCTGAAAAAGACTGTGGTTTATTAGGTGGTGGAAAGACATTAGCTCGCGCCCATCATGGCAGGCCGTCAAAGAGCAAGCATGAAAAGCCAGACGCTGTCGTTCAACCGAGGCAGAAGATGTCGCATATGCCACTAACCGCTAGATAGCGTGGTTTCGTAATAAAGGGCACATCTGTGAAGTGAATACACATGACGCCAATTGGTTCCCTTCGTTCAGTGAGCTAGTTTGTCTCCGGGGGACACGATGGACAGTGTGTCATAATACGACCGCACGCCCTTAGGGGCCGTCGTCCGAGACGCCCAGGTCACACTGACGTATAGCCCGTAGTAAAACGCGGAGGCGTCCAGGAATAGATGCTAACATGAAAAGACAATGATTCGACGTACCCTGTGCGAGGCTCGCGCAGCTCGCCTCGGCGCAAGATTGTTCGATATCCTATTGACTTCACAATGACAAGATCAGGCTTCGCACGCACGTTTTGACTAAGTGGCGAACAGCGAGCGGTATTGGGTAACGTGTGAATAACGGCGTTATTACGCTCCTGGCAGTGCGTAAATGAAGCCCTACCGTCCAACGTCTCGAGCCTATGCATATGAGATGTCCTATGATCCATTTTAGCAAATACTTTATGACATCGTCACTCACAGCCTCAATCGTGTATCGCGGTACTTTGTACATATATAAAGCTGGCTGAGCAATTCGAGTGACTCGTCCCCAGTGCATTTCGGATCGACTTCGTCATGTCATTTTGGCGCCTTAAGACGCGGGGGATGCCGAGGCGCCCACCGAGGGTGCCCGAGCGTGATACTAGCCGCTTCCTCTCATCTCATGTTGCGTTTGCTCGCCGTATGTTGCCTCTTCTCACTTTCCTGGAAGACAAAACGCTCATTCACTTTCTGTAGCAACGAAGGGCGGTCTTCACCACCGCTGCGGTTGCAGCGGCGGTCCACGAGACGTCCCGCGACAAGGTGCGTCCAGTGTCCGTGTCCCATGATTTCACTAACTCTCCAGCTTCTATGTGGCAGCTGCCCATCTACCCGGCATCACAGCCTGATGTTCTACTCCTCGAGACACCCTCAGAGCTCGAGCAGCGCATTGGCGTCGCCCGCCGTGCCGTGACGGCAACTTACCTCGACGCGCGCGCACAGGTCCAAGGCGTCATCTCCCGCTGGATATCTGTCGAGCAGTCAGTCGAGCGTATGTCCCCGGTCCTCATGTCATCTTCGCGCGCATAACGCTGAGGCGGGCTCTCACTTGCTTGACCACCCGCAGACCGCGTCAAGTCGCTTATTGCGCCTGACGAGCCGCTCACCCCCGGACTCCTCTACGTCGGCGTCGCGACCCTTACCGGCTCCGTGTTTGCACGCAATCGCTCGCTTGCCACGCGCGCGCTCCTCCCGCCGACGCTACTCGTCCTCGCACTCAACCACTTCCTTCCGAAGACGACGCACAACGTCGCGCAGTACTTCGGCGCGCTGGAGGACGCACACTTCCCCACGTTCGCGGAGAAGCACGAGATCGCCAAGGCGCACTCCGCCATGACCTGGGAACGCGTCAAGGATGCGACGCAAAACGGGCGTGCGGCAATGCAGGCTGCCGTAGAGGGTGCTGTTGTGCGTGTCGAGGAAGCAACAGGGCTCAAGCTGAAGGAGGCGCTGGCCCGGAGCGAAGGCGTCGTGCGCGCGGTAGAGACACAGGCAATTGCGGTCGCACACAGTGCTCAAGCACAGGTGGAGGCGGCGACGGATGTTGTCTCGCACAAGGTGGAGGAGGTGAAGGAGGCCGCGGAACAGAAGGCTGCAGCAGTGACTGGTGCCGCGGAGGAGAAAATTGCGCAAAGGGCAGTCGAGCCGCCCAAACGACTAGTATGAGTGTAGATTACTCCATGCGTATAGACATCGCTGCCACTACAGCTCAAACCTGCAAGTGCTGGCCTTTACCAGAATGGATGACTTTTGCCCGAACATTGGCAGAGCTAACTACTAAGCTCTGCCGCCTCCTCACGCCTTTGGCTTCTTCCCCGCCACTGTCTCTGCAACGGCATCCGCCTCCTCCTTGCCCGAACCCTCACCCGACGCCTCAGACATCCAGTCAACGTCCAGCCCGTGTCCGCCCAGCCCGTCGAAGCGTCGGTTGAACCTGCCCAGCCGGCCGGTGACGATATCCTCCTCCTCGCTCTCGGCGGTCCACTTTGCTGCGTTCCAGAGCGGATTGTTCGTCGTGTCGCGCGTGAGGCGGTGTGCGCTCCGCGGCGAGGTCGTGTAGTGAGTGAAAGTAGAACCGTCTGCGCGCACGACACGCTGCGGAAACTGGGGGACGAACGGCTTGGGTAGCGTACGTTGGCGGTGCTTCCACACGTGTGTGCGTCCGTATGGTGATGAGGACACACTGCGGGTTTGTGTGTAAATGTGCGCGTACGGGGCAAGTGTTGCCGCAGAAAGTGCGCGGAGTGGATTGTGTCCGGCGACAGGCACCTTGCATGCCGCCCGAGACGTGCTCGCCAGGGATAATGAGAGCGCCAGAGTCATTATTCGAGATGAAGAGCACAACGAGCCGTGTAAACGAGCCGTTGGTGTTGCTAGCAAGTGACTGTCGGAAGGAGGTGAGGGGCGCGTCCTGAAAAGGCAAGTGACAGGTTCACGCTTTCTGGGCGTCTACACGTGCATTTCGCGTCCCATAATTTCTCGTGATCACAAAAACTGGTCGATATATACTAGCTACCGCTTTATGCGATGCATTCTCACAAACATATGCTGGCGGTGCAAATAATGCTTTATACGTTCGGCTCAGATTCTGGTGTGTTCGTTGCGTATGTTTCTCTCGCACTCGACTATCACGGGACATGAACGGCCAAAGGTGATTACTTTGCGCTTAACATTTCGTTGAGTGCGCCACGCAGGTGGGATGACGCACCACTATTGAAGAGAATAACAGTATCGAGTATTCCTCCTTGATTTGCGGCACTTCGAGTCAATTCCAAACGACTATTGCTGAGATCGGTATCTGCAGATACATGTTGTTGCGACTCACCCATCCTGTTTCAAGGCAGCCTCCACGCGCCTCCACTGAGCATTCTTGGGCTTCATCGCATATCCCACCGGGTCCTGCATCGCGAGCGAAGCGAGCACTGCGCTGCTCTTGAGCGCCTCATAGCCAAACAACTTCAGCGATATTTCAGCGCGTGAGACGAGCTCCTGAGCTTGGATGTCCGCAGCCCGTCATGCGGGATCCGGGCTGGATGATCTTGCGTATGCGCGTGCGCGCGTGTCTCGAGACATACTTATAACTGACTGCAAAGTTCAAACCCGGACAAATGCCGTATTGGGACCGACAATGACCAGGAGCATGTGCTGGTGGGTCGTTGACGCATCGACACCTCTGCTGCGTCACGGCTCACATTTTGAACACGGAACACGGGCGTGACAGACGTGATGATGTGAACGCGTGAACGCAGACATGCGGACGTCATCCCCGTTTGCATGGCGTTTTGCACTGCTCGCGCGCCGGATGCGACACCGACAGCAGCGTCCTACGCAACGCCTCCGCCCGCGTCCACACTGCGTAGGTGCACCGTATCCTGTTTTGGACGGCGCAGCTGGTTGCCGCGTCGAGCGCCACCATGCTCGCTTTGTCTCGCGTTGTCCTTTGTTCTATGTGGTGGCTGCCTTTGCTGCGGCGTTGCATTGGTCTCCTGGACCAATAGCCCGCGTGCGCTTTGATGAGAGGCAGGCCACGGCTCGACGGGCGACACGAGCCACATACTGTGGCGCTTCAGCCACGGGGATGTAAAAGCCCCTTTGACCTCCGACGCGGACCTCCTCGCATCCACTGTCGCGAATCCTCTGTTTCTGTCCGCTATGTTCAACGACGTGGTGTTCGTTGAGGACAAAGGCCGACCCTTGGGACAAGGCCCCGTGCGCCGACTTTACACCCTCGAGGTCGCGGTGCCATCCGCCTATGGCTGGGAGCATATAGAGGTTCCGCGCGCTATACCGTCCGTGTGGAGACGTGCGATTCAGCAGACTTCCCAACCTGAAGGCGCTTCGTTCGTGTGGTTCGACTGGATAGGGTGCCCGCCACGATCGGGAGTCCGCCTCCTCGACGTCCTGTGGGGCGGGCCGGATCGCGCTCGTCTCGAGGACCGGCTCCGGGGCGGCCGCGTCATGGACTTTGACTGTTACCCGGTGCGCACGATCGAGCTGGAACTTGTCCCTGAGGTGCGTGGTGTTGACGGCTGGCCAGCTGGCGGGTATGCTGACGGCTTGTGGCGCGACGCGTAGCTTTCGTATTATGGCCTCGTCAAGCGCGAGGTGACTCTGTGTCTCGAGGAGGACCTCGACATTCAGGACCCACATGGACCCAGTCGAGCGCAGCTCGCCGTCGCCGTCGCCAAAACAGTGGACTCCTTCCTCCACGTCCGTCTCGTAAGCTGCTTGTGACCGTGTGGCACCTGCTGACGCATCCCGCACACAGAAATCGACGGTTCTTTCCGGCGACGATGTTCCTCCGTGCGAGCGCAGGCGAACAGTCTTGGAAGTCTTCATGGCGAATGGCATCAACTACGATGATATCATCATTGTTGGGATTTCTGGATATAATCAGACGTGCGACAAGCCGACATTCCGGATCTTGCTCGACGCGTGGATGCATCGTCCTTCGCAGGAGCTGACAGCTACTAACGCGAGCAGCGTAGTGTCCCCTCTCTATAGATTCATGAGGGTGTCTGTGGACGACAGGCCTCGGAGCGCCCTGATACCGCGGCGGATCCCTCACCGACGCACGCTCGACCAGTGGGACTTTGAATCCAGTTCCCAGACCGACTACGGCATCATACCTGACATCCGCTTTGACTGGATCGGAAGGGACGGAGAGGGCATGCACATGGGCGATGTCATACATTACTACGCTGATATCCTCGGCACGCTCATGCGAGATGGGGCATGTGCGCCACTCCAGGAATGGGAGGACCTTGACGAGATTGAACTCGACGTGCAGCTGAAGGCGAGCATGCGTCCCATTCTGTCCGCCTGTGATGATCCTGACATCACCACGGCCTGCAGGGGTTTGAGTACGACACCACGATCGACACGAGGATGCCCGTTCGCGAGGGCTCAAATGCCTACAGCTTGGCACGTATCGTACGGCGAACCGCAGCGGAGCTGATACGGTTTTTCAGATCAATGGTACGTACTGACTTGAATGGCGATGCTGTTCTGCTGCCTGACCCGGATGTCGTAGATGCAGCAGAGCGCCGAGGGCATCGATAAGGACGAGCTCGCTAACTACTGTCTCGTACACGAGGCCATCGTCAATAACCAGATCATCATGACACACCTGTCTCACATAGGGGGAAGTATCTTCCGTGTCAACCTTGAGACCGTCGGTGCATAGGAGTTCAACGGCGTGCCATGTGTTCGCACACGCACAGTTTATATGCCATCGTGATACCTTTCTAATTTCTGTTGTCTTCTTGTGATCCTCTACAATATATCTATATTGCAAATTAATACATGCTGTCTCTTAAAACCCTCGGCCACGTACCGGCGTACCCTTGTCAACTAGCAGAGCGCGTACGGGTTACGCAAGAGCAAAGAGCGTGCGGGTTGGACGCCAGCGACATCCGCCGCGTGCGCAAGGTCGCAAAAGTACCAGCGTGTATAGCGCCTGCTCTGCTCTCCGGAGGCCTGCGCGAGAGCCCCTCACCGACGGCGGCTGTAGCGAGCTGTCTCTTCGGCCACCTCGACCCAGCTCTAGGCGGACAAGCAGGCAACGCACACTCGACACGCGAGGCGATCGCGCCTCCACCGCTCGCGCGCACACCAAAAGGCAACACACGCGAGCCGAGAACACAGCGGCCAGGGCGCACGGCGCACGGCGCATTACGATACACGGGCCTTACAGCAGAATACAGTACGACACTAACACTAACACTAAAACAACATGGTCCGCGCGCGGAGGCAGCCTAAGGTATCCGACCACAGCCCACACGGCGCATTAAACACCGCCACCAATACTACTGCCGCCCGCCGGCGCCGGGGCGCGCACGGGCACCTGTGCCGTGCCAAACTCGATCTGCGGCAAGTCCCCCTCCCCCTCCGCGTCCTTGCCGCGGCGCGCGCCGGGCATTGCGACGAGGAACGCGAGCGTGACGGCGCCCCCTGCGAGCGGCGCGGCGGCCGGCGCGGGGTGCAGCGGCGCGAGCGGGATGTCGCCCTGTTGCAGTTGCGGCGCCGCAGACAGCGACGTGCCCGCGAGCGCGACGGCGGGCGGGCGGAGGCGCATGCGGCGCCATGCGGGTATCGGCAGGGTGCGCGGGGCGGGGGCGCTGGTGCCGGCGCCGCTGGACGGGGTCGCGCGCACGCGCGAGGCTGCTACGGGCTGCGGGCACAGTCAGCACACGTGCTCTCGCGCGGATATGCGCATGCGGGACCCGGTTTCCGACAGTTGCTGGAGGGTATTCATGTTCCGAGCGCGCGCGCAGGGGCGGCATGCGAGGGCAGACACCATGGCAGGAAACGTGGTATAGCCGCGCGCGGCAGAATAGCGGGGGGCGACAGGACTCACCATTAGTCCCGTCCAGGCGCCGTCCGCGCGGCTCGCGCCGGCGGGCTGGCGATCGTGGTGGCCAAGGAGGAGGTACACATCGTGGAGCTGGGGCTTGTCGCCAAAGGGGCGCGGGCGGTGGGGCGCGGGGTCGAAGGAGCCGCTGCGGATGGCGTCGTCGACGATGCGGCGCTGGCGGCGGCGGAGGACATAGGAGCGGACGACGATGGCGGCAGAGACGGAGAGGAGGAGGACGAGGGTCGCTGGGGACACGGGGTGAGGACGGCGCACGGTCAGCGGAAGCGACGGCGCTCACCGAGAAAGGTGTACACTGGCGCGATCGGGCGTTAGCGGGCGGCGATGAGAGAGCAGAAGGAGCATGCGCACAGTACAGAGACGCAGACGACGACAGCGTAGAGCTCTGGCCGCCGTCGTCGGTGGACGTTGTCGTCGCGGTCGGGCTAGCAGACGTGGTGGAGGTCGAGGTGGACATCGTCAGCGCATCGGGGGTCGAGAGTCGTAAGCCAGCAGGCGGGCGTTGGGCCGGAGTATTGTCGTGAGGAACAGTCGTGAGAGGGAGGTTTAGTAAGAGCGGGACGGGTGGGAGCGACGACGGAGCGAACAGGCGCACGACAACGCCACTCGCCTGATCGGGCATTCCCCGGGGCTTTAAATAGCCTCCGTCTGACGAGCAGAGTCGATCCTTACGAGCTGCCGCGCGACCGCCGCCTTTGACAGTCGATCGCGGCTTGTCGCTACGACTGGCACGCGCACGACAAACGAATATTTATATTCCATATGCCAGACATGCTTCTAGTGCGGCAGCGCATCTCGCTCCGCCTTTGCCTTCGCCGCCGCCTCCAGCTCCGCAAACGTCCCGCTCTTCATACACATGTTCCGGAAGATCCCGTCCTCCTTTTCAATCAGGTTCAGCGGCGTGTCAAACTCCACCAGCTCGCCCTTGTCCAGCACAATCAGCCGGTCATAGTCGATCACCGTCCGCAGCCGGTGCGCAACTGCAACGCGCAGCGTCAGCCTCCTCACTCTCCAGCGCGCCACGTCCACTTACCCGTCAGCAGCAGCGAGTCGTTAAACTCCTCCCGAATCGTCGCCTGGATCTTCGCGTCCGTCGCAAAGTCGATGCTGCTCGTCGCCTCGTCCAGCACGATGATCGAGCTTCGGCGAAGCAGCGCACGCGCCATCGCGATCAGCTGCCTCTGGCCCTGCGAAAAGTTCGTCCCGCCCGGCGACACCTGCGTGTCCAGCGTGATCGTCGTCTTGGGGTCCGTCTCCGTCACCGTCGTCGACATGGACGCAATCGTCCCTTCGCGCCCCTCGTGCATCGACGCCGCCCGTGACGCCTCACGCGACGTCCTCTGCGACGCCAGCTGGCTATCCGTGATCATCTGCACTCGGTGCAGCACGTCAAGGCACTCGCCATCTTCATGCTCGCCTGCAAACGTCGACTCGTTAGCCCATCAATATCACGACAGCACCAGATCCCACCGACCGAAAGGATCCAAATTGTCACGCAAAGTACCCGAGAACAGTGTGGCATCCTGGCAAAAGACGGGTCAGGCACGCGCAGGCACAATGGACCAACAACAGCATACTTGCGGGATGAACGTCTAGGATAAACCCGTCAACAAGGACACAGCAGCCGACAGCGAAGAACACTCACAATTCTCGAGCGCAGATCGTGCAAACCGATCGTCGCGATGTCAATGCCGTCAATGAGGATACGCCCGCTCGTCGGGTCCACCTGTGCATGATCCGTCAGTCCCCGTCATCACGCTATCCACAAATCCACCTACAAAGCGCAAGATGCTCATCGCCAGCGTCGACTTGCCACTCCCCGTACGTCCAAGCAGCCCAACCCGCTCGCGCGCCTTCAGCGCGAACGACACATCGTGCAACACCGCGGGCAGCTCCGGCGCATACTTGATCACCAGCTCCTCCACCCGGACCATCGCGTCCTTGTTCGGGCCCGTCGACGACGGCCAGTACGCCGGCGGCCGGTTATTTTCGATAATGGCAGGCGGCTCCTGCGGGAGGTCGAGGTACTCGACAAGCCGCTCGACCGAGCTGCAGCAAAAACGAATCAGCACGGTGCAGCGTACGGGCAGAGCCACGCGTACTTTAGATCCAGCTCCAACGCAGTCCAGAACCGGCATGCCCAATACACGCTCGTCGTAAACGCCATCGCGGAGGTGATGCAGACACCCGCAGTGCCAGCCCGCACATAGCCCGACAGCGCAAACAGCGTCGTCACCAGCACGCCGGCAGCGCCCAGCCCGTCAAAGTAGAGTAGCAGCCATCGGTTGGTCATCCAGAATGTGTACCACATCTGGCGCGAGGCTGATAAGCGTCATTCAATGAAGAGAGTGCAATCACCATACCTGGGTAGTGAGGTCGACTTTGGCATAGAGGTTGTCCAGGAAGGTTTGCTCAGCCGAGAATGCACGCACGGTGACAATGCCCTCCAGAAGCTCGTTGAAGTTGGCGAAAATCGGGCTGCGTGAGTTGGACTCCATACGGCGGATGTCGCGACCGGTGTTCAGATACCCGATAGCGGCACGACGATAGAAAAAGCCCAGAATCGATGCAGGCACAATGAAGAGGGGGAAGACAACACTGATAGCGTGATCTCAGCTGATAATCTTGCAAACACTGTACAAACGACTTACACGACCGTGATGACAGAGGCGGCAAAGTTCGCCAAGGCAGTATTGACCGCTTGAAGGGTGCCAGCCAAGGAAGAATCGACCGTCTCGACATCCTGGTTTCGTAGTTCAGGAAAGCAAATAGATACTCACCCCATTTGTTCTTACCTTGCTGAACCGGTTGAGCATGCGCCCTTGCGGCGTCACATCGTGCCAACGCATCGTAGCCCTCACCACTGTGACCAACAGTCGACGGAACAGAATACGAGACGCCCTCAGAGCGCCAGTATACTGTGTGATCACACCGGAGATGTTGACCAGTCCTGCGCCGAGCGCAATCACCGCATAAATGCCGATGTAGAAGAACGGCTGCTCCTGGGCGGGCGGCAAGTTAAAGTTCGCAGTGCCGGCAAAAGGCACAGGAGCATGCGATTTGTAGGACAGGCGGAGATGCGACATGTGGTCGTCCATGACCATTTCATGATCGGGAGTCGCAAAGGAGCTGAACGCGTAAATGGATGAATTCGTGTCTTGGGCCGTACCATACGCCTCGCCCCAGATCTATGCAAAGTAGACACCATCAGCCTATGGGCCAACTCGAATGAAGACTCTTTACCTTGATCCAGACTTTCTCCGTCACACCAAGCACCTGAGTGAGGACAATCAAGAAAAGCAGGATAGCCCATGTCCAGTACGATCTGGCCAAGGGCGCGTTAGCATGCATCGCCAGCCGATCGACCCCAGAGCGACGCACGAAGCCTTCAGATATGTGTGATAAATAGACCACTTGACGTTCCCGGTCTCGCGCTTCTCGTCTTCAATAAGCTTCCTGGGATTTTTCTTGTCCGCTGGCTTCGGGTCGCCGTTCTCGGCTTCTGCGTCTGCGTCGACCTCTGCGTTAGGGTTGTCTGACTTCTCGGCCACTTCGGCAGCTTGCTCTTCCTTGTGAGCCTCGACGGACTCTTCGTGCGTGATATCATCCAAGACTCCCCGGGCGCGCAACTCTTTGATGACGCCCTGGGTGTCGATCCGCCCATCAAGCATACGTACCAGATAGTGCGCTCCGGGAAGAACAAGCTCCACATGATGCGTGACAAGAATCTATCCCAGACGGTATCAGACCGATACCGGAAACATGCCATCAGACATACCACAGTGCGATTCGCCAGCAGAGGGCCACGGAACAGTCGCTCAAACAGGAACCGTGCCGTGTGGCTGTCCTACAAGGAGGCTTCAGATTGATGGAGGGAGGCATCAACGCCAGGAAGACTTACGACCGCACTCAACGGATCATCCAGAAGGACATACTTGGTCGGCTACAAGGACGAGGTCAGATGTCGCGCACAGCGCATACGCTCAATAACAACCAACCGCATATACTGCACGCGCAAGCGCAACTCTGTGTGGGTTCACATGAATGATCGTCCTGTCTCTCATAGCTCTTGCGACTCACCGAGCCTTCTGCCCACCAGACAAACTCACGCCACTGTACATCGAGGTCAGCACATGTCTCTGTCAGCACACAGCGACACCTTACCGAGCACCGATCTCCGTCGCATCTCCGTCCTCCAAGATCTCCAAGTCCGGCTTCAACGCGCAGCACTCGACGACCGCGTCGTACCGTTCCTCGTCGTACGGGAAGCCGAACAGGATGTTATCCTTGATCGACTGGTGCCGCAGCCACGGCGTCTGCGCGGCGTACGAAATCGCATGCCGCAAGCCGTGCTCGTCCACCTTTGCCGGGTTCTTCGCCATCACAATGCGCCCTTCCAGCTTCGTCAGTTCGCCCAGCAGCGCCATCTAAACGGCCTGCGGTCAGCGCACGAGCAGCGCCCACAGCCCCAAACACACGTACCAGGAGAGCCGTCTTCCCACTCGCCGTCGGCCCGGTGATCACCGTCAGCTCGCCCTCAGGGAACATGACGTTGATGTCCCTGAGCTCGAACCGATGGTCGCCGGCGGTGGACTGCGAGTCCACCGCAGTGTCCGTCTCGTCGGACGGGCTCGACGGTTGACTCGCAGCAGCCTTGTTTTTGTCGGCATCCTTCGTCTCCTCGACCTCGTTCCACTTGAATGTGCCGTTGACGATGCCGAGACCCTCGTCCTCGTCGGAGGGCGGCACCGCACCACGCTTGAGGCTCGAGACTTGCTCGTCGACTTCGTCCTCCTCGAGGTATGTCGAGATACGGTCCATCGCAACGCCGGCCTGCACAGCGACAAGTCAATCGTTGTTGAAGACAGAGAAAGAGCGCGCAAGGTACCTGGAGGATCTGCACTATCCACGCAGGAATAACGTTGAGGGGAGCCCTATGCACAGCAGTCAGCCTTGTTCGCCGCAAGACATGACGCAACCTACCTGACCATGCCAAAGAGCGCAATCGCCTACGACGGAAACATCAGCAAAGGGCTTCATCCACATACGCCACACGCTCACCGTGAACGCCGTGCCGACGGTCAACTCATGTCCCCGGAGCACGTAGACGAAGAACGACGTGACCGAAACGAGGATGGGGGCGCAGATCCAGATGAGCGAGAAGCACACCGAGTTCACGCGAGCTGCGCGCGCACATCAGCCGCCGCACCACACACCACCACGCCACGCACGACGACGACGCACATTTGAGCATCCACTGCATCTCTACCTCGCGCGCAGCCATCGCACGCGCGATCCAGCCGTCTTCCCATGCGAAGAACTTGATGAATTTCACCTGCGCGCGTGGCCAGCTCCTCATCAGCATGCGGCATGGCGAGCAGGGGCGGGGCAGTACGTACCGCACCAATGAGCTCGTTCAGCACGCCCATGCGCTTGTCCCGCGCGTTCGACACGCCCTTCTGGATGCGCACGGCACGCTTCGAGACGAAGCTGTTCAGCGGCCATCCAATGATCAGCACGAAGAAGCCCGCAAACGCCGACACGCCGAGCAGCCTGCGCGATCAGGGTGAGCATCGTCGCACACGAGGGCCAACACCACGCTCACTGGTAAAGGAAGACCGTCGCAATGACAATTTCAAACGGCGCTGCGGGGTGTCTGATTACGTGCGCTACAGAGACTTTCCGGCGCGTGCTTACCTCCGTAGATGAAATACGACCCGGAGACGACCTGCGAGATCTGAGCGGAAGTGGTCAGGAGGAAGCAACGGGCTGCAGGACAAAATAGGGCGCCGTACCCTGTTCGCGTCGCCCGCCATCAGGTTCACGATCTTGCCAATATCCGCGCCGGCCTTTGGGTCGTCTGCCTTCGGGTCTGCCTTCCCGCCTGCACAGAACGGATCCAGCCACCACATGTCAGCACCCGAGCAGCAGCACACGTGGGCAGCCGCGCGCACCTTTGGCGTCGGGACCCTTTGCGTTCTTCCCTGCATCCTTGTCCACGATCCCCGAAAAGTCCTTGCGCTTCAGCGCCTTGTCGTAGATCGCCGCCATCAACTCGGAGCGGATCCGCGTCGACGCGCGGCGGCCGTACCACAAGTGCTGCACGTCCGCCTCAGCCTTCATCGTATGCATCAGACATTGTTCGTTCGCTAGACGGCGCACAGTACACGCACCTTGCAGAGCGTGGATATAAACGCAAGGACAGCATATATGTACGCCAGCGCGCGCCGCTCGTCAGCCCCAGGGAGTTCGCGCCCCTCCAGCGAGTCGAGGATGCGCTTGAGGAAGAACGGGCTGGCATAGTTGAACACGACGGACACGTACGTGAGCACGAAGTCCAGCATCAGGTCCAGCGAGTTGGCGGCCCACAAGCGGCGCAGCAGCGTCGCGCGATGGGTGCGGCTGAACTTGATGTACAGCGGCCGCGCCTGCATGGTCGGGCTGAGCTTCCAGACGTCAGACTCGTTGAGCGTGGTGGCCGTGCCGCGGTCGACGAGCGGCAGGATCCAGCGGAACGACATCCAGCCCCAGAGCGTGGTGTAGTCCTCGGGTGACACGGAGAAGCCCTAAAGACGCACGTCAGGGAGCGCGCACCGACGGCTATGAAACACTCACGATGTCGGCCTTGTCGACTCTGGCGCTCGGCACCCCGAGAGGCATGTTGAGCACGACCAGAAGCAGTAGAAGCACAGCAGCCAGGTGGGAGACATAGCCGGTGAATGCGAGTGGGGCGGGAAGAGGGAGGCCTCGCACAGTATGGTCAAAGAGAAAGCCTCCGAAAGTGAGAACGCTGGTCACGAGCTGGAGGGTGAAGAGCAGCAGGAGGTCTGGGGGCGGCGTCGCCGTTGGGGAGACGATGGGGCGGACGGCCGCATACAGCCAGGCGAACGCGAGCAAGAAGGACGGGAGCGCCGAAGGCGCATTTTCAGAGCGGACGACGAGCGTGTAGCAGGCGACAGCGAGCCAGAGCAGGGAGGCCGCCAGCGAGACACACGAGAGAAGCAGACTGCGCCAGAGCGGGACTGGCGGCGGCGCGTCGACGACAGCATCAGCGAGGTCGTCCGAGCGCGCGTCGAGGGCCTCGGCGTCGGAGAGGGTGAGGAAATTGATGAAGGGCTGCTTGACGATGCTGGTGAGCTTGCGCGCCGGCGCTGGCAGAGGGACCAAGACGAGCAAGGCGGCGACGACGGCAGCGGCGGGCAGTACAGCGCCCCAGAATTCGCGGACACAGGCGGACGAGAAGGAGGAGAGGTCGTCCGCGGGGCAGATGTGGGCAGCCATCGCTGTCCAGACGAGAGAGGGGCTCTGGCGGAGGCAAACGATTTGTAGGCGGCAGCCAGCGAATCGCAGTTGGAGCGGATCAAATAGACGCGCACTTGGTACTTCGAATACGTGAAGTGTGTGAAACTTCTAATAACAACGCGCCTTGCCCGCGAGTGCCATGGTGCGAGGCTCAGCGTCGTGCGAAGATGGTGGGCTATTGATGAGACTGTAGCTAGCCAGTGATTAGGGCTCTGACCTTATGTATCTTCGGCGAGAGTCGCCGATAAGAGAACGTCAATGCAAGGCCAAGAAACAGGAATGTCAGAACCACGGAAGCTTCGCAACTGTCCGATCGACCTCCATGCGTACATCAGACACCACTCGCCCACTCCGGAAAACATGGTGTCTACTTCATGGGCCCCTACATTCACAGTCTACCACTGATAATAAAACAGTAGGTAAGGGTTATTGCATTCCTGCTTTCAGATCCTAAGTCGAATGGAGCTAACGGGTCAAGGCGTTCACGAACCCCTTACAAACATTGCCGAAGCTCGAGCGAGGACGGCACTTGCTGACCAGGATAGGCAGGTAGGCCAAATAGACCACACGCGTCTGGCTCGTATTTACTTAATTAGGCTGCTCGCCGTACACTCTCGAAGCGCCTGGAGGGGCTCGACTGATCTCACAGCCACCGACGATCAACGAGCTTCATTCATATGCAAATAATATCGCAGGAATACTTACACCCAGCGCTGCGGCTACAGGGACTCAATGAATAATCTACACACAACTGAGACTGCCTATGAACAGCAGACACTAGCGATGAGCTTACGATGTATGAGTTGACTAGAACATGACTCGAAAGGGGTCCTTTTCTCCGATACAAAAGTCATCGAGTCTGTAGAGCGCGAGCCTGACAAGTCGCGTACAACAATGAACCTTGCATCATTAGACCAGAATGAGGGGGCCGATGGCTCAGTTTGATAAATTGTGGTGATACTTCGCCGATCCAGTTAGGTCGGGACCATGGTCTAGGCTGTTGATTCCGAATTCCGCATCAACCCTGTTTGCGCACAAACATCCTCGGATAAGTCTAGCGATGGGAAATCAGGTAGGTCGATCGCATGTGGCTACGCGATCAGGCGGGGTTGGAACCCTACCCAAAAAGGCGTGCAAGTGGCGAGCCCTGTTTTCGTCAGCTGAACATACTTCACGTTTGCTGCGCACCCGCCATGAGTCTCGTTGACGGACGCAGCCCTTTTAAGTTCCAAGTGATGGTGGTTTCTTGTGAACAATTGTGATTCGAGGCACAGCCCGGCGCGCAAAAAAGCGACGGGCGTCTGGTTATGTAAGCACCCTTAACAAGCGTCTGGAGTCGAGTCGGTGGTTGTCCGCAACGCTATCGACGCCCGCCGTAATGGACTCGCTCAACAACCTCGCAAACTCCCTCCCGCCGTCCAACCTCGCAAATGCAGAGAAGGAGCTCACAAACAACTTCAAGTGTGCGTGCGCAGCTCTCTCTGGCCCTGCGCGGCGCACCCCTTGCTGACTCTGCGCCCCTAGCTGCCGCCCTCGCCCTCACCACGCTCTACCGCTCCTCCCGCCGCACGTCCAAGCGCGCATACAACGCCGGCTACGCCACCGCCTGCCAGGACCTCCTCCTCATGATCCAGCAGGGTGTCTCCACCGGCGAGTCCACCGACTCGGACGGCCCCGGCATGACCATCGGCAGGATCATGGACTACATCGAGGCCCGCCTCGACGCCATCAAGTCCCGCGAGGAGGAGGAAGACGAGGATGAGGAGAAGGACAGGGAGCGTGACCGCGCGAAGCCCGCTGCCGGCCCATCAGCGCCTGCGCGCGTCGTCAGTCTTCCGGCGGCAGCGCCCCCGCGGCATAAAGACCTGGTGAGTGCCATTCATCCTTGTGCGCACAGACCAGAGCGGGCCTAGCTCGCAGCGCGAATCTCCGTGTACAAGGCGCATTCTTGATAGGGTCAATCGCACGTCCGTGTCGATGCGATGCGCATCCCGGCGCCCCGATCAAAGACCTCGGAAGTGGCGAGAGCTTCCCTTTTGGGCACCTCAGCGACCCTCTGAGGAAGGGATAGCTACGGCAATCATTCTTCCCGGTCGCTGCCACTTAACGCTGTCTTAAGCCTGTTCATCGGGCGTAACGCCCATGTCGTTGTGTGTTCAGTGCCCGGCATCGTCACACTGCGCGAGCGCAGTCGTTATGATGATGCCTAAGAGGACGTGCAGATGGCCCGTTGCGTTCTGTGGCCCGTGAGTTGTATATCGCAGTACACTGAACAACAAAGTCTTTCATTCTCTCGTCGAACACATACTCAATCGCACACGTACGACCTACTGGGTAATCATGCTCAGTGGACATCCCGTGAATTCATGGCATCCACTGTTCATGCAGATCCCTAACCATCTTCCTCTGTCTATAACACAAACACCTCCTTCCTTTTCATCTTTTGGCGAGCATTTCCGCGGATCGCTCGTTTTGCTAAGCACATCACCCTCCAGCCCACCGTCGCCACCGTCGCGCCGCTCACCCCTTACACCCCTCCCACCCTTTCGCCCGCCTCGTCCCCGGCACCGCCCTCCCCCTCCCCACTCTCCGGCCTCCCGCTCCACCGCCTCCCCAAGTCCCGCCTCGTCCTGCCCCCGCACCCCAACACGACCGTCCTCGCGCCATTCCCCGCCGCGGCGAACCCCGCCCCCGAGCCGATACCCGCGCCCGACGCCGCCGCGACCGTGGGCTCCAAGCGCCGCCACAACGTCATGCTGCTGGACTCGCTCTCCGGGCCCGCGGACGCCCCGGCCCCCGCGGGCGGCTCGTCGCGCCGCCGCACACGCAGCGCGCGCGGCGACCAGAACCAGCAGGCGCAGACACAGGCCCTGGGCGTGGATGCGATGGACATCGAGGAGGACGGCGGGCGCGAGCGGAAACGCGTCGCCCGGCGATGAGGCGGACGTGTGTCTCTGTTGTGGGCGCGGAGGGTGTTGCGGGGGCGGGCGTGTTGCGCCGGCTGTGGGGCGTAGAAGTGAAGATATTGTAATGTACTCGGGTCGTGTCCCCGTCATTCCCATCCCTTGCATTCGTTTACATGGCTTCCGTCCTCATGTGCATGACTCCGCAGTAGCTATAGTGTATCCATGGTTTTTCCTTCTGTTGTCCCCTCGTCGCGTATACGCGGGACAACTGCCCTAACTCATTTCATGACTTTATGACTTGACAATGCAGCTCGCCTCTGATGATTTTAGATGTATGTTCAAAGCTTGCTCCTCGCCCTCATACTCATGATTACATATGAATTGCAGGTCAAATCGCGAGCAGAAATGAGAAACAAAAATGACCGACGCAGGTCTCGAACCTGCAATCTCCTGATTTCCGAAACGCTGCATACGTAATCGTAGTCAGACGCGATGCCATTTCGCCAGTCGGCCTTACATGGAGTTGTGCATAGCTATATTATTCTGTGATTGATAATGTATATGTTCTCAGAAACAAGAATTGTCTTGCAACATTATAGACGGGCGCCTTAGCTTCAAGACGTGAATCGGTCTCCCTTCAACAACAGCTTACTTTCTCTGGGTGACTGCACTCCAGAGGGCATCACTCAGGTGGTGTGTGCCAATGTAACAACAGGTCGCCGACCAAAGGGATTGTCGCGGGTGAGTCATCGACCATTCACCTCCAGGCGGTGTCGTTTCTATCCAGCTCATCTGATGCAATCGATCAGTTGGTAGGAACACTCATGTCCGTGCTGAAGCTCGCGCTCTCGACGATCACTGTGTCGGAACGATGGCTCATACGGCGTACATAGCTTTCGCTGGCGGTATGGACACTGACACCAGGAAGCGCGGTGCTCGATAGCGATTACAACAATCAGGACAGCACGTAACGATACAATAGGACATTAGACTCACCACAGGTAGTAGGAAATGTGTTACAATATCGCGATGATTGGGAATCGGGCCGTCGTGCTCGTACACTGCGGACGCCGAAGCCAGACAAAAGGGTGGCTCGAGACAATAGACAGCGATGAAGAAATAGGAGGCCCGGCTCATGGTGGATCAACCTCATGCTGTGAGTCTTTGTGCCGTGGGCTGTGGCGAAGCGAATCAAAGAGGACGCAGGACAATAGGCAGGGGCTGGGGAAAGGGGCACGATAAATGGTATTTAAGCCGCTCCTCCGTCGCCGTCCTCCCCATTGGATTCGCCTCCACTGAATAAGAGGGCCGCCTCGACCTTGGTGAGGAAACCAAGCACGTATATCAGGTCCTCTATGCTCACATCCAGCTCTGTGGCTCGCCTGCGCATGATAGCGTCGCTCACTTGGTCGCTCTCCATGTTTGCCGAGCTGCCATTGCCGAGCTGCGCGCCTCCCTCATCGCCGTCGCCAGTAGGACCCTGCGAGCCGTTGCAACTGCTCTTGACGTGACGGTTCGTTGCATCTATCCGCGCGAAAGTATTACCGCAACGAGGACAGAAGAACTGCTTGATCTCAAAACAGCTCCGCAGGTGACAGCGGAAGTCGCTCTGACTTTTGAATCCCTGATGCTTGCATTTCTCGCGAGGACAGACGAATTTCTTTTGCTGCCGAGGAGGTGCCGCGTGTTTCGTCTTTTGTTTCTTGTTGCGCGAGTCGGAGGAGCCGTCGACGTGGCCATTGTTGTCGGTGCTGGGACTCTTCCGCTTGGCACTGCGACTTGGCTGCGAACGACGCGTCGGCCCTGTAGCTGCAGTCGAAGAGCCAGCATCTTCATCTTTGATGCTGCTGTTCGTCGCGCGTCATTTCTCTTTCTGCGCGGCGGTGATTCGTGGGGAAGGCTTTTGCTTCTCTGCTGTATCCTTCGACTGCAAATGCGAGGATTGCTCGTGGCTCACGCCCTCACCTGTGGCCGTCGAATTGAGGAGTGGTACGTGTTCACCGCCTCTTGACTGAGACGTCCGGCCGCTGAAGCGAGTAGTGTATGCACCAGACGTAGCATATGTCTGGTGTATCTCTTCACCGACAAGGTTTACAGCAGAGTCATCGTTATCATCTCTGCTGGAGTCACCGTCATCGTTGTCACTTGCGCCCATGTTGCTGGAGGTATTGCCGTATTTAGGGCTAGTTTCGGTCTTGCCCATCTTGCGTGGGCAAGCCGTGACTGCTCTAGATATGCGAGCTCTCGTATACGACGTGGTGTGCGATGTGGCCGCTACGCCACTCACAGAGCCTGAGGCGTCTGCCAGCGTGTCGTTGTGCCGAGCGCGACGGCCAGAATTGGTTGTGCGGACCTCTGTGGCCCGATTTGACCCAGCCCAGAACCCGACGGATGGGTCTCTGAGCGTGAGCGTAGGGTTCACCGCTGGCTCTTCCTTCGGTATCGACTCTGATGGCTGAGTGGCAGCATCAGCTAATTGCAGTGGCAATAAAGTGGCTGTTCAAACTTACGTCGACATTCTCTTCTAGCATTCGTCTTTTGAAAGTTTCGTCGATAAATCCGTTATATCCGGGATATAGACTGCGGCCATGATCTTTAGTGGCCAAATTGCGGTCGGATGGTTCGTCAAATGCATCGCAAATGCATTCACCAACGAGATGGCGCAGTCTGTGCTCTACCTGGCAAAATTGTCTGACGATGGCGGTCGTCCTATCGCCCCAGACCACAAGCACCCGATCTTGGCGCTGCTCTCTGTCGTAAGCATCTTGGCTATAATTATGATTATGAGCAATACTTACCACTAGTACAGCGTCGTACGCACATGCATCACTCAGAGCATCTTGAGATGCAACAATTGGTATATGGATGCCAGCGATCTCTATGGCACTCTCCAAGTTACTACAATGAGGCAGTGAGCTCGAGTGCGGTGCAATAGTATCCAACGAGGACACGTACAAGGCATTAAGCGTGTCCTCGATTGCTTTTGTTCTAGCCTTCACCGCGACCGTGTACCCAAGTCCGGAAGTCGCGGCGGCGAATGGGAGGTCGCGGCTGCTCGAGGCGAGAACGAGCTTGTCGGTAAGCAGACACACAGCTGCATGTCGGTCATCACCCGAGGCGTCCTGAAGAAATATCTGGAGTAGTTCCAGGGTAGTAATTAGATCTCTAGTGGTGTCCATGATGATTGATATGCATGAGTGCGACAGATGGAATGTGAGGGAGGTCAAAGTGGTTTTGTGGCCGAGGTCGGTTGTGGGTCCTTTATTATGGGCGTCTTCTCTGCTTTGGAAGTCCGCACACTCAAGCCTTGTTGTCAGGTATCAGACTTGGAACTTGGCTGATCAGGCGAGCTACCTCATGCCCTCTGACTGTCTTTGTCCATTCAGGAAAGGAGTGGCATATGTACTTACAAACAGCATTCGAGTGAAGGACGGTCCCAATTTGTACAACCACTATTGGCGTCAACAATGTAACTCGCCATGAAACGTTTACTCCCATTGATGTTTGCATAATGAAGGTAGAATTTCAACGCACTCATTATCCCGTCGCTCGTCACCCGTCGCGTACGCTACTATTTTCAGTCTTCTGAGTGTGTCTGCTATAGAGGCATCCCCCGGTACATATGACAGACACTTGCTATTTCAATCAATCTCATACTCATCAGATTCGCAATTGGTTGCTAGAGCCACACATAATGGTTAGATTGTCTATTTCAATTGTACTGAATAACGTGGAATATAGCACTCTCACTCGCGCCTGCCTGTCATTACACTTCGAGCCATACATCGTAGATACCACCGCCTTGCACCGGTAGACTGCCGTATTCCACCGTTGTGTCTCATGGTCCCACCAGGGCGGAGGGGCTTAACGAAGAAAAACATTCCAGGCATCTGTTGCATGAGTCATAGAAAGCGTTGCGCGGCAGCGGCAAGATACAGCAGAACGAGGCCGAGTGGCCTGGAAGCAACTGGATAACAAGCACAGCGAATGCGATGGTGGTGTGTTGTACCCAAGCTCAAGATTATGTACTGAAGTGGACGGGATCACATAGCACGGGTCGCTTGAGATATTAGGAAGCGACATCAAGCAAAATACAACATACCATAAGGAATCTCGACGCATATCATGAAACAGGAGATTGGATTCATGATGTCCCAAATTTTAACACAGAAGCATAGAGGAAGAGGTTTTCACCCATTCGAGACTCAGATGATGAGATTTGGTGCACTATTGAACGACTTACAGCATACTTAATGCTGCGAGAAGTGCTCGGGCGCTTGTAGGGGACTCTTTGGCTTTGTTTGTCACTAGCAAAAGTGACAACTCACCTCCATGCCGATATGCTCGCTTCGCTCGCAACAATCTCATTCCTTCTTTCTCCGGAGGTTCTTCCGGGGAGGCAATTGCAATTACAATCCGCGACTTCTGAATCCTGATGTACGTTGCGAATTGCATTACTGTGTCATTGACTGATTATCGTAAATGTGAGCTACGGGTCACTCTCGATAGAGCAGTCTCAAGATAATGGAAAATGCCATGCAACTCTCACCTTATTCCGCTATCGACACTTATCAGGCAATCCGTCACGACCACGGGCTAGCCGGAACGGCCGGACACCCCATTGATGTATATGCCGTTATCTCATATCTAGCTTCGCGTACCGGTCAGGATAGTCTCCTAGTGTCGAGATAGGTGTGGTTTGTGGTCTAATCAGAAATCTTATCTTTGACAATTTGTCTGATCGTGCTTATGGTAGGCCCAAGAATACTGTCCGTTCTCAGACAAACAGGAGCAAGATAATCCCGGCGAATGACAATCTGCGGGAGCTCGATGTCACAATGATGAACATACATATCAATTTAACATCGCAGGAATCACTGAATCAGCATAGATATATAGTACAACGGTATTTCTCGACACACTACTAAGCAGATCTGATACCCGCACCATCGTGCATGATTCCCAAGTCAAGCATCAAAGTCTCGAGCGCAACTTCCGGTTTGATCAGAACTACTTGGTGCAGTCCATGTGGAAGCTTCTCGACCCGTCGAAGCCCCAACGTCGTGCAGCACCAGACTCGGAGTCCTGTGGCCCTTTTGATTCCTTTTTCCCGGTATGCATCATGCATCTCCTGTGAGTTGAAGATGTCTTCCACCGCGATTGGCGGAATTTCATAATCGCTGCTAACCATGACCTCCCCGGTGACGCGCCGAATATCCAATGCGGCGCGCACGATGATTTGTAGAATTTCCTGTGCGTCCTGACCTATGGATTCCCTCATTCCCGCGACCTGCAGAATCTGTGACAGCAGCACAGAGAGCCTCCTGATATGGTCATTTTCGAATTGCTGTGCATCTAAAGGAGTGGGCTGCGCGTATCTCCGCGTTAACGCGCGCCACTGTCCTGCTACACTTTGATTCTCTTCTGGTATTCAGTCAAACGTGTGAAGGCTGAGACTTCTTGGCTCACCTGACTGGCGTATCAGCTCGTGAACGATGGAAAATGCAGCATTTCCGTCGCCATTGGAATACCAGTTTGATATCATTTGGGAGATATAACGTGTAACGGCAGCTTGCATCGCAATCTCGAGCAGGATTGTATCATCCTGGGAGCTCATGGTCTGTAGGTGCCGCGTGAAATTCTCACCAAGGACACTTGTCACCTGCGCTTTGGCGTCTCGGCGAGTCTGTCGTTTCGGGTCTCGTTGGATCTGGTCAGCGGCCGATCGTGCCAGATTGAATATTTCTGCATTTATTCGGCGGATATCCTGTACGATATTGCTCTCCGAAATGGGTTCCGCTGTCCCGAGGAAGCGCTGAGCATCGTGCAGCTCTTGCCTCCGCGTGTCTAACAGTGTCTTCATCAACGCGCGCTCTTTGGCTAGATCGGCCTCCCGCCGTTTTGCTTCGGCAAGCTGTAACCGAGTGCCCTCAGATAAACATCGCTGCGCACGTTGGTCAGCTCACCTCTTTCCTGGAACTTTCCTCTTTCGATCTCCATATCTCGATTTCCTGCTGGAGTTTCTCTGCTGTGCGCTTCCAATCAACTTCATCTTCCATCCGTTTAACAGCCTTCAAAGGCCTCTCTTGTATCTTTCCGTTAATCCTTCAGTATTGTGGTTATCACCATTTAGTTAAGAAAGCACAGGCTGACCTGTCTCTGCTGACGATCGCCCCTGTCAAGCTCGCTCTGACGCCCCTGGCCGCGCTGCTGGGATGGATGGCAAGTACCCCTATTATGCGTCAGATATTCCGATTGTTGCTCCTCTATTGTCGATCGCTCTTCTATATCATAAATGTATCATGAGATAGGTGACCACTTCAAAGATGCCATACCAGCTCCTGAAACTCCCAGAGGAGTCTTCAAACGGGCAGCCACAGTATTCACGATATTCATAGGGGCGGAGGGAAGTGGGTAGGTCCGTGCTGACTCCGAAGGCTCTACTTATCGTATCCAGGTGTAGCCTTCCGCGCTCCTTCAGGCAGAGCGCTAAATTCGCTGAACCTTGTGCAATGTGGTAGATCCGTGTGGTTCAGTCTTCCATACTTCGCAATCATGTTTCAAACTTCTGTCATCCGGAGTTAGCTGAGTTCCGTTGATAAAGCTAGTTGCAGAACACATTAAATGGAGGCGTGGCACTTGAGCCTTGTATTTCTTTCTCTCACCATGACTCGCCTTCAGCCGTACCAGGGTACAAGCCGTAAGCTCGTCTTAGCTATCGACATCGGTACTACATATAGTGGTGTTTCTTATTGTGTTTTGGATCCTGGCGAGGTCCCCAAGATTCTAAGTGTCACACGGTATATATGATGCGATCGCACGCCTCTACTCCTCTGATGCAAAGTCAGGTTTCCAGGACAGGAGGGCGAGAACAAGTCAAGAGATGTCAAGATACCTTCGGTCCTCTATTACGACAAACAAGGCCACATAAAAGCAGCAGGAGCTGAGGCGACCTTGCAGGGCACTCAAATTCAAGCTGTTGATAAAGGATGGATACGCGTCGAGTGGTGAGATGCAAGCAGCAATTTTTCAACATAATAACCGATTCATCGAGGATTTGTCAGGTTCAAGCTCCATTTGCGTCCGCCCTCGATGCGATTAAGCGAGCCTCTGCCGAAGATTGCAACTCAGAAGTCTGTAATTGACATCTTCGCAGATTACTTGCGCTACGTCGTCAAGTGCGCCAAGAAGTTTATAAGCGACAGCAGTCCCATCGGAAGAAAGTTGCTAGAGACAGACGCTCCCATTGAGTTCATCCTGAGTCATCCGAACGGATGGGCTGGACCTCAGCAGAGCAAAATGAGACGTGCGGCGATTCAGGCAGGCCTCGTTTCCGATGATTCGGAAGGCTATTCGAAGATACACTTTGTGACCGAAGGAGAAGCAAGCCTCCACTTTTGCATTGTGAACGGGCTTGGAGACGACGTTGTGAAGGTGTGTCCCACTAGATGATTTCGATATCAGGAAGCTTATCCCATTCTAGACTCACAAATACGTGACAATTGTCGATGCCGGAGGTGGAACTATAGATCTTAGCACATACACTTTCCTTAGCAGCTCGCCGGTGTCTGCAGAAGAAAGTGTCGCACCCAACTGTGAGCTCCACGACATATGGTTCAGTAATGCTGACTAAGGTATCGGCATACAGGCCTTGTTGAGGGCTCAACTGTAGTCAATCGCCGGGCTGATAAATTGCTCAAAGGTAAGTACAGTTAAATCCGATTCTTATGGAATCTTGAGCTTCACGATTTGCTTTGCTGCTCTACAGAGAAGTTAACAGGGTCGCGGTTCTATGATCTCGAATATCGAAACGCAATGTTGGATAACTTTGAGACGACAACAAAGCCAACGTTCAGAGATTCCAAGAAAACATCTTTCATTAGATTTGGAGGTCCTCGGGACACGGATGAGAAGTTGAATATCAAGCGTGGTGTTTTGTCCCTATCAGGGCAAGTTCAAAGGCACTAAGAGACATGACATGCAATCATTCACAGCCATGTTGCTAGGTCTGAAATGGAATCTCTATTTCAACCGACAATCAATGCAATCAGGACGGCAATCAATGGACAATTAGCTCAAGTCAACGCGGAAAACTCAGTCAGTGATCTTGACCAGAAGTATGAGTGCAGGCATAAATCGAGCCCACTAGACTATTCTGTTGGTTGGTGGATTTGCCACAAGCCCCTTCCTGCGCTCTCAGCTGCAGAACCATGCCAGAATTAAGGGGCTACGATTATTCTGCCCAGAGGGACAAACGTGAGCTTTATTCATAATTTCATGCTAAGCGCTACAGTTGCTCACAGAGCACTATGACCATCTCATGGGACAGATCTAAAGCAGTCGCTGAAGGCGCTCTGTTGTTCTACCTCGATAACATGGTCCGTGCGAGAGTTGCCCGGCATGCGTATGGTACTCGCTACAGAATATACTACGACGCACGTCAGCCGGATCACAACAAGCGCAAGAAGACGATTGTGAGAGACTTGGAAGGAAAGTTTGTGGTTCCAGGAGCGTTCGCTATGATTATCCCCAAAGTGAGGAACACACTTCAAGGCATATACCGCATACTCATGACAAACCACAGGGGAAGGTAGTGTCGGAGCAGGAGGAATTTAGCTACCACCTGAGCTGGACGACCCGTAATCAGGACGATTTTATTGTGGTTTCTGTATTGTCTTACCGAGGGAGCCGACCGACTCCCAAATGGACAGATGAAGAGCCAGGTCAGTGCCTCTTCTCTGACATCCGTGGGAAGGCTCTAACCAACAACCAGATGCATTCTCCACCCTGTGCAAGATTCAGGGCAAGCCCGCCAGAACTTCATGGATTAGAAAGATTGGACCAGACGGGGAATACTTACGGCAATCCTTCAAAGTCATATTTCTTTTTGGGCTCACTGAGTTGAAGGCGCAGATTAGTTGGATGGAGAATGTATGTCCCGTTCCTTACCTTGCTATCAATATAATCTTTCATAACGCGTCGTCAAATTCTACAGGGCAAGGAGAGGAGGTAGGGGGATTATTCGTGGCGTAATTTGACTGAATAAAGTTGATATTTATATTATAGGAGCCCGGCAACCGTAGTGTATGACGATGAGTGAGTGTGAATCAGACATGAACATCGGCGCCGTTGGGTGGCGGATAGGGACAATGTGATTGTGCTTGTTCATTTTTTCTATTGAAACTTTCAAATCACGTGTGACGTAGTCGGCGCAGGCGGAGACATGGACAATGTATCACATTATACTGGAAGATAGTATATTGGTGTTCGCTTACGAATTACGTCCCTCAGCAACCGACACTCAGGGCTGGAATAAGGGCAAGGGTGAGATGTCAAACCATGAAACAGTGAGTGAGTCCAGCGATAATATTATATATGGCTCTGGAAGGCAAGCGGTCGGAGTAGCGGTACCCCCCTGACGAGAACTTTCGCAGGTCCGATACTGCGCCCAATCGCGCCCTAGGGGCCCGTTAACAGGACCTTACCTTCAGGAACGGTAATCCGTAGCATCAGGTGAGGTCTGGGTCTGCCCAGCTAGTTTGGGGCATTGGGTACGTCCGTCCTGGCCATCGTTCCTCAGGCCTCAGGCAGGACGTGGACTTAGTCCACTTTCCAGCGTGTCGCCTTACCGTGAGGTCGGTTTCTTTAGGCGGCGCTCTAAATATAAGTGTGAGGAGGACCAATACTTTGATCGCACCTGCATCGCGGCGCGCTTGAGTTTGTGCTGGATACGTAGCGATACGACAAATCATAGAAGCGAGCACCTCGTGCACCGCAATAGCGAAGATTACAAGACGACGCATATCAATGCAGCGATGAAGAAACAGAAGTCCCTGTGCACGGCATCCTAGCCCGCGTTTCTGTCGTCGTCCTCCCCCTCGTCGGCGTAGGACCCTGTGACATGTTGCAACTTGTCTTCTTGACATGACGTTCTTCGCATCTTTCCACGCGAAAGTATTGCCGCGATGAGGACAGAAGAACGGCTTGATCTTAAAACAGCTCCGCAGGTGGCGGCTGAAGTCGCCATGGCTATCGAATTCCTGGTGTTCGCATCTCTCGCGAGGGACAAACTAAGCGCTGGCCCCCCACAGGTGCGTAAGATTCGAAACTGCTCTGAACCTCGGACCGAACCTGCTGAACGGGTTCCGCAGTTTCGGTCCGAGTTTCGGTCCGGTCCATACGGTAGGTATGTAGGTTCGCTTCAGGGTTCATAAGGCCTCTGGTCCGAGCTAAACCGAACTTCGGAGACCTAGTCCCACTGTGCCTCATGGTCTCAGGGGTGAGAGGCTCGACGAAAGAAAAGGACTCCATGTGAGAACGACGCCGGAAAGACCGCCGGCAGACAACGTCCTCGATGGACAGGGATCAATGGTGGATAAGGTTACAAACCGATGGGGCTACCTACGGCGCGCAACGCCTACATAAGTCCTATTCCCACACCGGCGCACGACCACGTGACCCGGGCTGGCAGCGACGCTTGCCCGACATACCCAAAAGTCAACGCTCCAGCCGTTCGTTGCGTCCACAAACAGCGTTGCGCGACAGCGGCCAGAACGAGCTGAAGTGGCCTTGTCAATGACTCACAATCGATCGGCCAACGTTTAGAATCGTCAGTGGGACCGCGACAAGTAAGTATTAGATTTTGGAGCCCGCAGTGTCGAGCGGGCCGACCCGACGCCCCTGTGCCTAGCCCGGAGAACGATCATAGCACGATTGCCAAGTAAATATACATCGATCCTGTAGAGTACTTGTACCATAGCGCGGCTGTACCTGGCCCCCACGCGTTTGTAACAATCCGCCCATTTTGCTTGCTCGCGTCCGCGTTCCCACTCCCCTCGTCTCGTCCCCAGGCAAAAGTCAACAGTAAGAACGATCTACAGTCAGCTTCCAGCGATGGCTCAGTAATGTTTGCCATAGAAGCTGCGTGTCACCGAGAACAGTAGAGTATGTGAGTATGTCAACATTTCCCAGATGCTGTGTGACAAACGGACCAGCGATTGTGCATTGTTGTCACGGGTAGCATCGTGCACAGTGAAAAGTTGGGGAAGATGATTTGCAGGAAGTATCGGCAGCGACAATTCCACATCAGCGCCCTTTCGCTCGCAATGTCGATCTTGTTACCGCCCTTGGTGAAAGGGCCTAAGTCCTCGCAAGGTTCATCATTTTCTAGTAGGGGTTATTACCTAGGACTTCAACACCAAAGCACTCACCGTGAGCTGCATCTTTTGTTCCTAGTAAATTATAAGCACTCGTTTCCTCCGTAATATATGTATCACAGACTCAGATTGAGATCGTGGTGCTTGGTACCTTGTATTACTCGAATCCCGCACGGGAGATCGGAAGTGTGAACAATCATACACGGCAGGTGTGAATCCGTTAATTGTTTAGTTGATACTGAAATGCCATAGTGGCGCTCATCCATTTTAAGGATTTCGAGAACGACTGGCGAGTCCACTAGCATCAATACGGATAGCATAGCTTTGTGCGACACCGAGTGACCGGTGCGCGCAGCTGAAGCACAGTTGCGCGAACTGGAGACGCCATCAGCTTCAGTCGGTATTGAATCTATTGCCTCCGTCGTCCTCTAATTTTTAACCACACTTAGGTCGTCGTTTCTCTGTACCGGATAGACGCCACAAATGCAACCCCGATTGCGCCTCGCCGCTAATTTCCAGCGTCGGGGCTGTCCTCCGCGGGCGATGACTCGACGAAACGCCTACAGACCTGTACACTCAGGCAGAGATACCGCGAGGCTGGAGGCCGAGTATCATATATCATGTTTGTATGTTGCGCGTATATTACAGATGATGATAATAAAGTTGCTAATCGAAGCAGTAGTACGGCTACGATCGAGCGGGACTGTGATGATGGTAGCTCAGACCTAGACCGTTGGAGCGCGACCTGTTGTAATGACAGGAGCACCTATCTAATCTTTCCAAGGATTTGTCGTTTGTTTCGAGTCGCTCTGCATGTTAATCATATCCGCGGCTTTCGTAAGCCGATGGTATGAAGTGGACGGACACTGAGATAAGTGGAGAATGAGCCAAGAATGTATGTAATGTATTACGTTACTGCGCACCTGGGACTGGGTGGTCAAGTGCGGATAGACGGTGAGGTCATTGCGAAGTCTGTGATGTGTCTGATCAAAGGAGCGCAGGGATGGCACAATGTTCTGCATAATACTGCGAGACAACTCGAAACAGCGATGAGTCGAGGCGTGAAAGGCGAGTGCAGGAGTGCGATAAGATGTGATGTGTATTATGATAGGATATCTACGCGTTTGCATGGAAATGTAAATAAGAATGACGACTGAGCTGCATCTGGATAAGTGTGAGGGATGCCGGCAAGCGAAGCAAATTCTCACTATTTATGACCAGCAATAGCCAGGAGCCGGTATTCTAGAGCACTGGACGGGTGAATGAGGTCGTGATATGTATTCGACTGTTGTGTTGTCGCAAGTAGTCATGAGAAGGCGCGCGATGTATAGTGCGACTTGAAGTCTAGTTTGTTATGTAGGAAACCCGTCCCAGATATGGTCAGAGGCTGGAGTCATTCGCGACGAGTCAGAATATTGTCGGGCGACGCAGAGGTAGCACTCACAGCATGTCTTCCCGCGCTAGGAACGAGTCCAGCCCGCGAACGATAGAATATCAAATAGTATGTATACCAGACGAATAGATAGAGCACTGTCTTTGATAAGAAGGATGCGACTGTGTAGTCGTAAGGAGATGGGGCACTAAGGTAGTCAATATACCCGCGATGTCAAGCAACCAGCAACCGAGCAAGGGTAGGAGGTTCTGGAGATAGTGGTGTAGCGAGCATTGAGGTGATGAGATAGAATGGATAGGCATGTCGAGGACCATGAAATCGCGATCGTTGACTGGGTATGAGGCGACAGAGTGAGGCTCGAATGTGAGATAGAGACTGTTACAGGAGAGGTTACCGCAGTCCAGATAGATAGACGGTCAGTTGCGTTGGCAGTGATACGATGATAATCAGGATGGTTATGTTCCAATAGAGCAGTAGCAGTCTTGTGAGATCAAGCGCTGGATCAGCGAGGTTACACGTGAAGCGGGAATTCATATGTTGCGTCAGGCATTGACGACTAACAGGCGAGGCGTCGCCCGAGCGAGTATCAGTGGAATGGCAGAGGCCGTATTAATAGTGTTAGCATAGGAGATATGTGGACGTCCGCCGGGTCGTGAGGATGGCTAGTGAGTGGAGACGCTGACCGGGGGAGGCACCGTGGTCACAATGAGCTGATGTCGAAGGCGCATTTAGAATAATCCCGGTGAGCTCGACGGTCATGAGCTCACAGTCAGAAGTACTCACAGCATCTCGTGTACGACGACAGAAACCGTTCGAATGCATGGGAACCTAGTATGAGAAGTAGAAGTGATTTTCCGAGGAGAGATCGTTGCCGAGAGTAGATACGGTATCTTGGAGGAATGTGAACAGCAACAGAATGGCCGCGAGATGGATCGTAGAGCGCGGGAAGGGCGAAGGACCTCAGCTTGTGTGATCTCTTGAAGACCGGATGTGTGGTTACGATGCGAGAATGAATAGCAGAGACGGAAAAGATATCACAGTAAGTAGTCGGCGAAGATAGCAGGAGAGAGCAGAGACGTAACAGAGAAGACGATACTGAGTCAGAGACAAAGACGTGGACAGCTTCGCATAGGGAAGGATTTGGAGTTTAAAGATATAGTCCGTTTTGAGGTAGAAAGTGCGTGGCGCATTGACGTTCGGGAGTATGGCCACAATGCGCGAAAGGTGGCTTAGAAAAGCACTAGTTTCAAAGCGGTGAGTGGTCGCGAGGAAATGATAAGACTAGATGAGCAGAATTGCTTTGAGGTTGCGGCAAGAAGGCAATGATGAGCTGAGACCAGAGAGGGAGCATCCAAGATGGAGGTGCGACCACAAGAAACAAGACAGTATGGGGCAATAGCCAGACCAGCGACTTGAAGCTGCCAATGTGACAGTGCGCTTGTAAGGGGATTAGTAGAGTACGTTTGAGAAAAGGCAGGTAGTCATGAGACTGTAGTTCGTTTTGAGTGATCCTTGCTTGAGGTGTGGACGAGGCGACCGGCGCGACCGAGATCCAAAGCGAGCACAGATATTGTAGCATCATTATCGTGAACGGGTCGTCAGCACCAGCCCAATCCGATGTTTCCAAAATGTAGTTAAACGTCGAGTCCAGGAGAGGCCGATCGGACTCATGTCCGAGAAATAGAGAACATGGCGACGTACGGAGAAGTGTACGCCAGTAAGATCCGTGACCAGTCCAGAGTGAGCAGACGAAGGCCAGGGATATTGATGGTGAGTTGCCACCGTCAAGAGGGAGCAAAAAAGATTGTTCAGCGAGCGATGACGAGCTGGACACCGGCCGCCAGAAACCAGGAAGCTGGGAGGAGACGGCACGACGCTATCGAACCCATGAGATGACGTGATGATAGATCAGCGTGGCAGCTCACCAATGGAAGAAAAGGTCGTGGCGGGCCGAGACTGTTCACATCCAAGATACGAATGGACAAGCATCTTGTATAACGCGACAGCCACAGAGTATGCGAGCGGAGACGTAGTCCCTATGCCAATACGAAAGATGGCCAGTGACTTGTGTTCTTCGCGAGGACGCGCGTGGTGCGTGTCACGCTGTATGGACGGACTTTGAGATCCAGCGATAGGAGACGAGTAGCAGCAAAAATGACACTTGAGTGTTCGATCGACCCAAGAAGCCGGGCGCTACCGATGTCGACGGTGTCGACGGTTGAACGACCGAGCCAGATCGTGACTAGAGCCAGGGGATGCGGCCGCTCCAAGGTAGTTTGTGTATATCCAAATACAACAGAAGCGGCAAATTCATAACTGAACTGAAACGAGATGACCAGAAACCGAGGCAGTCAATTTGCAGTGTTTCAATATTTTCTTCTGTTTTTGTTGTGTATCTTCATTATCTTCTTTTTATATGCTTCTTGTGTATTTGTGGGCCAGAGAGGCAGAGAGTCAGACCAAGCCTGAGATACGATCCACCTCTTGTCGCCGCGCGTTCGTGTCGTTTCGTAAGGGTCTTCGAAGTTGTTGTGCAGCGATCCAGTAGTGAGAGTTGATGGGAAAAGGTCGGCCAGTGTGCGAAAGACCAAGGCAATAACCAAGAAAAGACTGTTCTGACGAATCGATGTCGATGCCGAGACGCTAATGAGACCGAGTCGAAAATATGAGATCAAGGCCAGAATGAGTGATCGAGACGATTCCAAGCCATAGAAAGATCCAAGATCGAAGAAACAGAAGTAGAGGAATCCGAGACTTGTGGGAGTGAGCGAGAAGACCACAGCGCGATCCAAGAAAAGATGGCGCTGAAAAATTGATGCCAAAGTCGAAATAATGATAAGATCGAGACAGGAGTATGAGAGACTGAGCCCAGAATGAGTAATCGAGACAGACGTAGATGGATCCGAGACTTGAGGCGTTATAGATTCATGTTGAGGTAGATCGTTTCTGAACACACGGCAGGAACAATCTCAGACCAGAGCATTGAAGAGGTCGCACAGATCGTCTAGGGCAGAGCCGCCTGTTGACGATGCCGCGGGAGCGTCCGTCGAGAGCCCAAGAGAGGCAAATGCGCCCAGCAGGTCATTAGCAGAATCCGTCGCCTCTTGAGTACCGGTACGCCCATGGGACGACGTCGCTAGCGACAGACTCGCAGACATGCGACAAAGCACGTCAAGGTCGTCGTCGTCGTCAGTGCTCTCCTTGATCGTGGTGATTGGCGTCATCTTCTCGCGCCTTCCGGTCTTTGGATTCCTGTTCATCACAGCGTGAGCACGGGAGCACGAACACACGATATCAACCCGTACACAGCTGATAGCAGGAATCGTCCACATCTTCCTTTAGGTTCCGCACTCTCCACGTCCTGGAGTGCAAGCTTCCACGATATCTTCTTGTACCGCTTGCGCGTGTCCTTGCGCGCCTTCTGCTTTGCCGCACTCTTATTGCGCACTGCCCGGAACGCATCGTTGTCCAGAAGCCCAGTCGACAAACTGGACGTGGATTTGCGCGCCGACTGGGCAAAAGTCTTCTTGGCCTTGCTGATGCCACCGCCATAGACCTTGCCGCTTCTTGTCGCCCTAGCGAATGAACCTGTCATCAAGCACGCAATAGTCAGTGGCGTACATCCCACAGCACAAATAGTTGCACTCTCACACATGTTCGGAGTGAAATCATCGTCAGAGAAATCGTCTTGAAAGGCACTGAATAGTCCTGAATTACCTGCGTTCGTCGTTTTCTGCGCGCCTTCAGTGGCATTCGTGGGGAGTGTCGAGTAAAGCGAATGCATGTCGAACATCGGCCCAGCAGTCGGAACCGGGTCCTCGAGGAGATGGTCGGGTAGCGCGGGGTGAGGAGCAATGGCGTCCAACAGTGTCTGCAGGCTGATAACAGGCGCGGACGAGGTGGGTGCGATGGAGACGTGCTCCAGTCCAGCGACGACAACCTGCTCGCCAATATCTGACCCAGAGACCGCGAGCTCGGGGAGTGGCATCGCCGGAAGCCCATTCTGCTTCTCCTTGTTCGGCGACGAAGATGCAATAACGTCCTCCACAAACGTCGCGTCCCAATCCTGATCATACGTCGTGTTGTGGTCCTCGTTGAGTGCGCCACCACCGAGCGTGATGTCCCCCACGTATGCGTCCTCCTGGTCGAGGTAAGCGACAGTGTACTTCTGCACAGACCCAAAGGGGTCTAGCGCTGCATCGATGTCTTGCTCGATGTTGTCGCCTCCAGGTCTTCCGGCGATCAGTGCTGCTGCGACCACACCGAGGACTGCATTCACACACACCAGCTGGACATCCATGTCAATGTCTTCCTCCACCGTCAAAGGCTGCTCCTGATGCCCCATCTCAATGTCCTCTTCGGGCTGCGCAATATCAATCGCTGCGGAGATCAACTCGACCGGAGCCCCAGTGAGCCCTGCGTTGGTAGGGGGGTAGGCGACGATCTGAGTAGACATGAATGTAGACAGTCTGTGGTCAGAGCCTACGCGCACATAACAGCATCGTCGCCTCACCTCGTTCGTGTCACATACCATCTCAGTCTGAGCAAGCAGTGCCTGCGGAGCTACTACGCTGTCAAGACCGTCCATTTCCATCTCCACAGCCTGTTCTTCGGCATGCAGCACATCGCTGTCCTCGTCAACAGGAACTGGATCTGCAGAGCATACGACAGGAGACGCCATCTCGACCAGTACGTCGTCAGCGGCGCACACGTCCTCCATCTCTTCCTCTGTGCTAGACGAGGCTTCAGCGTGGGCAGTATCCATATCCACGACGAAAGCACTGTACGTGTCGCGAGTTGGCTCGGGTGAGAGTATCTCCGCGTCGACGGTCATGGCCGTAACCTCTGCAATCTTGCGTTCCGGCGCAGGCATCTCTTGTGCCTCTGCCACCGCGACGACGCGTACCGGCTCGGTCAGTGCTGCGAGGACTTCAGCCGGCATTCCTGGACACGAGCCAAAGTCAAAGGCAAAGTCCTCCATCCGCAGGCCCCATTCGCGCGGCTCTCCTTCCACGGGCATCGCTACTTGCACAGACTCGGCCTCGACGACGGAAGCGGTAGTGGAGTGCTCCGGTGATGTACACACTGATGCGACGCGCTTCTCAAGCTCGTCAACAGGGAAGGCGAGGGGGTGTCCGGTGACACAGACTCTTCCTCGGCTTGAGAAACTACCGGATGGGGCTTGACTTCTGCTCCCGCTACGGATCGGATGGCCTTGAACGTAGACTTGGGCTTAACGCGAGCACCCTTCAACTTGGTCACAGAGCTCTTCGGGGCTCGCTTGATATCGCCCTCCACAAGGCCGAGCAGCTTCCGCCACCCTCGCCGACTGCGACTAGGTCTAGACGCGGAGACCTTGGCCTTGACACTGCATCCTTGCACGAGTACCGTCTTGACCGTCGTCGAGCTCATCAGTGTGCATAAGCAATAACAGGCCATGTCAGACTCACCGATGCCGTTCCCTCTCGTTCACCCATGTGTTCCGACTCATGCTCACTGCAGGCGTACTCCCGCCAGGCTTGTTCATCGTACTGGTGTTCCTCATGGTTGCCGGATTCGTGTCGCGTCTTCCTCCGCAGTGCCTTGTGCCGCCCATTCATATTCGAAAGTGTCCGGACGACCTCGGGCTCCAACCTCCGTGTCCCCGCAGGTGTCCGCGGAGGGACAACGTCTACCTCACTGGCCGCCGCCGCCGCCTTCGCAGCCCTGCGCAGTGCGAGGAACGGGTACAATGGCTCATCCTCGGCCTCCTTCCTCCTCACCAGCGGTCTCTCGATCATCAACTCCCCATAGGCTGCCTGACGACGGAGTTGAATGACCAGTGGAGCAACCGACTTGCCCTTGCCGCGGGCTCTATTACGGATCCCGCTGCTGGGACCCATGTTTTATGTCGAAGAGACTATAAGAGAATTAAAGTAGCAATAATTAAGAGATGCAAGCGTTGACTAGTGATAGATGAAAGAGAGTGGGTCTGGTATGTTCGAGTTCGACATGGGCGTAGCGCGTGACCATTCAACAACGCGTCGACACGCGTCACGTGATCGCGCGCAAGGCTCGCGTCGCGAGGCGCCGCGACCCTCAAAGTTGCTATTGACGATCTGGGCGGCGTCTGCTCGCTAGCTTCACGCATTTCCATTTCCGTTTGCCACATCATTGTGTTCAGTAGGTCAAGGTGTGTTGTAAAATTAAGGCAATCGCCGTGTTCAAGTCCGCATTATCGCGGCTTGATAAAAATGTCAAGGCAAGATGGTATTAGCCTAGTGGGATTGCTCGCAAAGTTACTGTACTCGAGATAATATGAAGGAGCCAGAGTCTTGCATGATAGTACTCGGCCCTTTACTTGCATGCCCGTCGCCATGTTTGACACCAGTCACCATCGATCACCGTGCTTGCTCCAGAGAGACATAGGCTACATCATAGATGGGACAGCAACGAGTCCACATCCAGCAGTCCTAGTCATTGGCTCAATGCATCTGATGTCCCATGAGAGTGTCTGAATCCTTACTTACCCTTGCCAAGATGGCGAGAGCGGCGAGGAGCCGTGTGTTTCGCGCAAGTTATTGTGAGATCTGAGATGAGTAAACAACTCGGCAGCGGCCGGTGACTGCCCACGACGACTCTGCGCTTCTTCCTGCTTTAAGCTCTCACTTTTATACGGACCTTGCTTAAAATCGGACTCCGCTATCGCGACGCCGTACGAGATCTGCTCATTCTGTTGCATCCGTATGGTTTTGCTTCGGGGAACTTCGCAGCAACGCTAGTTAATTGCATCGATCGGTTTCCACCATCACAACCCTCGTCTTCACAGGCGGACATGCATACTCAGCAGCGATTGTCGACAGTGGTCAGCCTTCAGCTCGCAGATCATTCAGGTTTGAAATAATCATAATCTCGTAAAACTACAAGCACAGCGCGATCATAGAAAATAAGGAGTCGTTCGCAGGACAGATACATACGGGCGAGGCGGGCGAGGCGGGCGAGGCGAGAAGGACAGGAGTGGTGAGTTGTTCACACGGCAGCATACATCTTCTCTCCAAGAAACCTGACGATGTGCTTCGCCTCTAATTTCGACAGCTTGTGGATGTTGTCGAGATGACGCCTCAATGCGTCATGTCTCGATATTTTGGTGCCACATATAATGCAGTCCCATTTGCACCCGCCCAGGTGCGCGATCCGCACATGCCTGTTGAGGTTCTGTTTGTGTGAAAACTTCTTCTTACAGATTTTGCACCGGATTGGCCCTTCGGCTGTGTCGTCTGGAGTGGTGGCTATCACTGCTGGTGCGCGTGAGCGCCGCGATGTCGTCTTGCTGTCAGCTTTTGTAGATGATCGTGGCCGCCTGAACTTGTAGGCTGGAGCGTCGGAGGTCACGGCGGTGAGAAGTGCGCCATCCTGGGGCGCCTCTGTGGCGATGTTGCTTCCGCTGGCGCCGTTGATGTGTTGAGTGTTCACGAGTTCCTGCCCTACAGCCTGTAGGCCAGGAGTCGGTGCGCTTGACACACCTGTAGGTGTGTAGCGCGAATATGTTTCCTCGAGATTTCCATGTCCGGACCCCATTGCGACTAGGTCCAGTATGTGTAGATCTATGTGAGGAAATGGATCTAGTTCCGAAGACATTCCAGCCATTGTAGGTATGTCTGGCGCTTCCCATGTGTTTCCCACTTGTCCGGATTGCGTGCTGTGTGTGAGGATGCGTGCATTGTAGGACATCCCGGACTGGTTTATCCCGACATTTTGCATTGGGGGTGGATGGCAGTGAATGATTTGGTCGGTTATTGAACGAGGATTCCCCGATTGTAAACTCGCCTCCAATATGGCCATGGGTGGCGCGACCGACCATATGCTTTGCATGGAATAGCGGGGGCCATACCCACCATTTTCAGTGTCACCTGGGCGGGTCGATTGGTCGTCGTCGGCGATGTGTTGTGGAGGACGATAGTCGAAACTGGCAAATTGCTCGGGCACCGTATCATAGATCACGGTGTTCTCGTTGACGGCGGAGATCCGCTCGTTGTTATAGAAATCCTGGAATGGCATAGCGATTGGGCAAGCCGCGATTGGATACGAAGGCGCAATTGGTGGTGCTGTCGGCATCGTTACCCCTCGGACCTCGATATGGGCTGGTTGAGACAGGACTCACCTCCTCAGGAGTGGTGGTTCACAGGCTATGTTATTCCGTGGTAAGAGAGCTGATTACAAGCGATAGAGGCAGGCAGGATGCGGTTTATATAGAAGACCGCGGTGCGTCCTCGCGCTTGTTCTGAAAACCTTCACACCCAGTACTGACACCGGAGACTGCGGCATGCATCCTTTCATTTCCGCTGTTCGAGGCGAGTTCCGTATCACCAGGGATAATGCAAGCATCGAGACTGAACCCGAGAGGCGTTGATCGGAGGTGCGGAGTGAACCGTTGGCTACTGATAGAACAAGGCGGACATAATAGGCCATGATGTGGCTTTGTTCTCGGGCCAAATGTGGAAACTCGTCACTTGTTCCTTCACCATGCATGCGACGTCTCATCGCGCCTTGGTTGTAGCTATATGAAGTCTCTGTGAAACTGGTTTCCTTCCGAAGTTGGCATGCGGGTGGCGGTGAAGACCTGACATGCTTGGGTGTACTGTACCCAGCCACAAAGCACAACACGAGTACGAACGTAGATCCCAGACGCCTGAGCCCTGAGCCACTCATTTCTGGTTTTCAGCCACCTTAGGAAGACCACCCTTGCTACACTTTTGCCACAGTACACTTTACCGCCTTCTTTGCTCCATTCTTTTACTACATCCGTCTGTCTCATTTGCCAGACACCTCAGCGGTCGACTCACTTGGGCACGGCCTTTCTAGGTGAGGCTCGCTGACTATTGTGCGACGGCGAGTGATCATGTTTCCCAGCAGAAGCATCTGTGTGTTGACCGGAGAGACGTCTACCTTCTGCATGATGGACAAAACATATGAACCATCATGCCGTGTCATCTGGGGTGAGTGTGGAAGTCAGGCCCTCCAGTCAGTTTGTGATGATATGGACTCCCTTCATGTGCCCACACCTGTCAGTATGTTCGACAGATTACAGGCCAGGCATGACTTGCCTTGCGCGGTTTCTGCTCCGGATTGTCATCAAATCGGAGGAACGTCTCTTGATGGTACGTCGTGTGGCAACCACACGTTGACACCTCTGCATCGACTGATTCAATGAGCTCGGGCCTCACTTGCGTCAGCTCGGCATGACCATCGTTTCTTGCTTTATGGAGTTTGCATCTATTTGAAAGGCCTTCTTATCGCTGTCTCTTGAACAGCTTCAGAGAAGATATGAGAGTCTAGAGTTCGCCGAGGGCTTACTGTAGTGAGATCTGTACGGGAGCAGCCAGTTCAGTGGAAGATATGTCATGATGGCACCTACAGGTGAGCCCCATGTCGCTCGGATGGCGGCGTTTATGAGTGGCGCAAGGAAAATTCAGTTCTCAATAATCTGAGTGAGGAAAGGCAAGGGGACAGCGGGAAAAAGCACGACATTCCGCCTTACTGTCGACGTGTCGCGCTGATTGTGTCTGTCAGAATGATAATAAAGAAGATGGGACGGTAACGCTTGCATAATAATTACGCACATTATGCACCAGCTAACCACAGAATGCTATGCTGGAAGACTGGTATCGAGGATGAATACCGGCTTGACCTCTTTGTCACCAATGATATAATACATACGGTGTGTCGTAGAGCCTACGGGCAGCCGACGTGTCGATCACTCAAGGCCTGAACACCCGTTGAGCAACTATTGGAATTTCGGTTCCCGTCTCTCTTGTGTTCAATTCCTTGTCGCGACGAGGCAAACGATGATATAAGCCGGGAAATGGGGAAGGTGGCAAAAAAGAGATGGAGATCGTGGCGCGCGGAAGCAGTTCCAAAGCGTAGTGCTGCAAGCTGTGATTTCTCAGGAGGCGGTGAGTTGTGGCTTGCAGTTCATGTATTCCACAGATCAACCGCTGCTTCCTGCTGGCTGAACACAGGGAGATCGCCCTACGAAAGGCGGATGCCAAGGTAGTTCACGTGGGGTCTAAAATGCCTTCAGATCAGTTGTCGAATCGAATTGCTGCCGCACATACATACGGGTATGTTGTCTCATGAGTTCGCGTTGTATGTCATGCTGCTGTGAGCAGTTGTAATGCAGCATAGCCCATTCGCTTCGAGCATGCTAGGCATACCCGATTTTCAGAAGCGAAAGAGGTAAGATCTTAACGTCTGGCAGTTACATCGCATTCGGCTATAGCATGAGGGTATCGTGAGCGGAAGCACCAGAACCTGTGTGTTAACATCGGTAAGTAGGACAAGACGGGATACAGGTTCAACATACCAGACATTTTGTTGGAAGTGGTAGTACCGACGCCTGGTAGACACCGTGTGTCGTCTCGCAAGCACCACGCATATAGTTATCGAGGCTGCCGGAAGGGAAATTTCGGATGCAGCCGATAGCCCGGGAACTACAGACATCGTAGGAGAATACACTGAGAATGGGGGGATCAAGGCAACGCAATGCTTATCAATGTGGATGTACTTCACGCCCCTCGCCGAGAATCGCCACGCACGGCCCAGAAACACATCTGGTTCATGAGGGAGGATCGGAGAGGTCAGGATCCGTTAATTTCGGTCTGTGAATCAACGTGTTCACAGGAGCCCCGGTCGCGACAGCGGGTCGACGTGGTTGTCCCACAAGCCAATTTGAATGTTACAGGCCTGGCAAGGGTGCGCAAACCGTAACAGGATTAGGTATGTGGCTAGGTATCAAAGCTCAGGACCGTCTCTGTGGATCATGTCAGTTTGGTTAAGAGACCGTCAGTCAAACGTTCACCTCCAGATCTACGAGAGAGCGTACGTTGGGAAATGGCGTTCCAACATGCAAAATCTTTGCACAACACGCAGCGCATCGCTGGCTTCCTCCTGTCGACAAGTGAGCAACTCTGCGTCCTCAGGTTCTGCAGTGCCGGACGTGCGCACTCTCTTGGCAGGGACTTCAGCAGTCTCTGCACCCGGGCACTGTTTATGCTTCCGCAGGCGGGGGATGTCTCCAAGTGGCGAGTCGCGTTTGATGTAGGGGAAGACCGGCTCGATTGTATCTGAGTGGACAAGCGCGATGACGGGTATATGCGCAAGAGCGTCCATAGGTAGCGCATGTTTGTAGCGAAGCGGTCGCTTGATGAATTCACAACCCACTCAAATTTTTATCAAATGGAGAATTGCACTTAGTTCGTACCACCCCAGCGAGCGATACGAGTAAGCAGCGATCGTAGCTAGAGGTCTAATAACCCTTGGGGTGCCCGAGTCCGGAGGATGCGATGACTTTATAAGTGTAGACATACAGCACTGTGAGTATGGCGGCGTCCTAACAGTGCGTACGATACATATTACAGGAGTATCGGGGTGGATTGCAGTCAAACTTGACCTAGCCAAAGTAGTTCGGCAACTGCCGAACTCCACGTGGGTGCGTATGGCACTCGGCGCTCAGAGATCACTCTCAGTTTGCTTCCACCCAGAGACCAGGCCAATGGATGGTTTGGCTGCTAGATAGCCGCAAAAGAAATCCCTCTCAAGCGGGTGGAGGACAACCGTTCCGTCTCATAGGTTTAAATGGCGTCAATTGTACAGGCTTTAGAGTCGATCGCGCGATATACAGCAATCCCACTGGCAGACCTCAACGTGAGCGGTCACGGACACACCGATATCCTCCGGTGAAAACACAAGTAATTATTAACAAATACAGAGATCTATAGCGAATACAACAGCCAGGATGGTACGTAGCAACACGACAAATCATCACGAAGTGAGAGCTCGTGCACCGCAATAGCGAAACTTACAAGATGACGCAGATCAGTAGACAACGATGAAGAAACAGGGGACCCTGTGTACGGCATCTCAATCCGCTCCCTCGTCGTTGTCCTCATTGTCGCTGATTAGAAGAGCCGTTTCGAGTTCAGTCAGGAAGCTAAGCACGTAGGCCAGGTCTTCCATGCTCACGCCTAGCTGCGTGGCTCGCAAGTGTATGGTAGCGTCGCTCACTTGCACGCTCTCCATGCTCTCCCAGTCGCGAATTCCAATCTGCGTACTGGAGCCGCCGTTGTTGCCAGTAGGATCCTGCGACCTGTCGCAACTTGTATTCCTGACATGACGGATTGTCGCATCCTTCCGCGCAAAAAGCTTGCCGCAACCAAGACAGAAGAACTGCTTGATCTCAAAACAGCTCACCAGGTGACGGTGGAAGTCGCCACGGCCACCGAACGCCTCGTGTTCGCATTTCTCGCGAGGACAGACGAATTGCTTCTGCCTCGGAGGAGGTGCCGCGTGCGTCTTCTTTTGCTTCTTGTTGCGCGAGCCGGAGGAGCCGTCAATACGGTCATTGTTGTCGGTGCTAGGACTCTTCCGCTTGGCATTGCGACTTGGCTGCGAACGACGCATCACCCCTGGAGCTGCAATCGAAGATCCAGCATCTTCATCCTCGATGCTGCGGTCGGTTGCGCGCCATTTCTCTTTCTGCGCGGCGGTGATCCGTGGCAAAGGCTCTTGGGACCCTGTTGTGTCCCGCGACGTCTGGTGCGAGGACTGCTCATGGCCCACGCCCTCACCTACGCGCGTCGAATTCGTAGGCGGTGCGTATTTTCCGCCTCTTGATTGGGGCTGGGACGTCCGGCCATAAGGACGAGTCGCGTATGCCTCGCCTGCGGGTGCTGCGCTCATCCTTTCTTTCTCTCTCCCGACGAGGCTGTCGACGTGCTGGTTGCCATTGCCGGTGCTCGGGTCGCATACGACCATGTCCTTGGAGACATTATCGTATTTAGTGCTAGTTCCGGCCTTGCCCATTGTGCGCGGGCAAGCGTTCACCGCGCCATATACGCGAGCTCCCGTGTCCTGTATCGCGGACAACACGCCTGCACTGCCACTCGAAGACGCTTTGACCTGTGTTGGCACCTTCATTTCCCCGAGCGGGGATGCAGAGTTGACTGCAGGAGGTCCTTTTGGGACCGGTTCCGACGGCTGGGTGGCAAGACTAGTCAATTATCATGACAATAAAACGATTAATTGAACATACATCCAGCAAGCGCTTCCGTACGGTCTCGTCAAAGTTTCCGTCATACCCGGCATACCGGGCATCGCCTTGTTCCTTGACACTTGCATCCAGGTCGAGTGGGTATTGACCGCCGCCGCAAGTGCAGTCGCTGACGAAATGGCGGAGACGGTGTTCCATACGTCGATACTGCTCGACGATGGCAGTTGTCTCGTCGCACCAGACGACAAGTACCTGTTCGTCGCGCTGTCCTTCATCGTAAGCATTACCACTATTCACACTATGAACATTCTTACCACTAGCGCGGCGTCATACAAGTACAAGCAGACATCATCAAAGGCCTCAATGGACGAGACAATGGGTATGTGGAAGCCGGCGACTTCCACGGCGTCCTGCACATCACTTGCAAAGTAATAGTGAGGTCAAGTGCAGTGCTCCAGCTCTCAATGAGAACACTTACAAGAAGCGCAGCGTTTTTTCTACGGCCTTCGTCCTAGCCTTCACTGCGACTTCGCATCCAAGTCGCGAAGTCGCGGCAGCAAAAGGCAGGTCGCTGCTGTCTGATGTGAGGACGAGATTGGTGGTGTGTAGGCACACGGATGTGTACCGCTCGTCGCCCGAGATGTCCTGAATGGACATCTCGAGCGACTCAAGGGTGGTAAAGTGGAGCTCAATAGCGTCCACAACGACTGATAGGAGGTGAGGTGGTAGATGAAATGTGGGGGAGGTCAAGTCGCGTCTGTGGCTGAGGTCGGTTGTGGGTCCTTTATTATGGGCGTCTTCTCCGCTTTGGAAGTCCGCACACTCAGGCCTTGTTGCCAGGTTTCGGACTTGGAACTTAGCTGATGAGGCGAGCTACCTAAGGCCCTCTTACCGTCTTGGTCTATTCAGGAAAGGGGTAGAATATGTGCTGACGACATGCATTCGAGATCAAGCGCAATCCTGATTTGTACGACCATTGTCGATAATGCAACTCGAGTGGTTTGTTTTTGTTCCAAGCGTCTCTGCTTGGTGCTCGCGAGTGGTAGGAATTCAATGCAGCCGCTTCCATTGTATCGCTAATGATCCGCTCTCAGTCTTTGTAGTCGGTATCCATGGTGGGGTGTCCGGCAGATATTCGACAAGCGCTCACCGTTCCAACCACTCCAGCTCCCGGTCGCTAGATTTTGCTAGCTGCGAGCTCGGTATAATGGAATCTGGTTGAATTGACGGCGGTTCTTCCTCAGGATTGAGGGGTAGCATACGTCCAGTCACCGGATTAGATCAACGCGGTGACTATATGGCTCGTCATTCGTCACATCTCGCATTACTGATCTTTCTAAGACAGTCTAACAAGACCCTGATTTCTATGTGAGGAGGACGCCACACTCCTCGGAGTGTCGGTGCAGCATGATATGAAGATCAGGCCAGGACAGCGCGCCTTCCTCGGCGTTAGTGGCGGAGGCCTGCATACCAAAGCCATCACCTTTCAACCCGAGGTGTCTCCTGGAGAGTGGTAGTTATGTGTGAGAACGCACACGCTCCGGGGCTTCAGGTGTGAATAGTTTCTTAACATCTCATTCTTTCGACCCTAACGCATCACTCAAGGCTAGCGCTTCATGCCTGTACTAAAAATGGTCATGAACCACGTGTAGGACATCATCATGGTCGTGGTATAGAAAGAAGGAGAGGAGCTGCCTTGTGTCTGTGTCATCCGGAAACACACGACAGCGGTGAGCCCAATTCTCAATAAATGATTTTTACTCAGATGACTCGCCAGCAACGTTGAGAAGGATTACTTATCTGCCCTGTCGTCTTACTCATGTCCTCATCTCCCGGCTCGTACCATCCGCGCATGTGCCCACCGACTCCGGCAGTATTGTACAAGGTACACTGTGCGCGCATTCTTGCACAAATGTCAGATCCCTACTATGGAGCCTCCCTCGGTTGCGCTCGTGAGAAGTACATGCCCAAGGGCTGCGGACGAGGATGTCCCCGCGCTGTTTTTATTTTCCATTCAGCGGATGCAACTCTCTGGATAACATTGCAAGATTTGAAGACATGAGGCACTAAGCCGTCGCTCATTGTGAGCATGGCTTGTGTTTTTCGCCTTCCTCTCAATGCGAGAGCATGCGAAGTATGGGCGCTGCGAATTCCCAACATCGCTGTTAGAAGCGTACAGGGTAATAGTGAACTTGACCATATCCCTTTGTGGTGGTGCTGAATTCTTTTTCAAGGGAAATTCCGCTCTGCCTCCGCGACTATAGGCACAAACAATTATGCGGCATATCTGTTTGTGTATACGCTCACTACCGCATCGCGCCGGAGGATATACCGGCGCTGTCTAGGTCCCCATGTGACGTACTATGCTTCAGGGCCTCATTCGGCGGATTAGAAATCTCTTTGATGCGATATTTTGGGAACCAAGAGTAATTATATGGGCAATATATCACGTGCATCATGACAGCCCATTGTCTCTGGACCAGTGCGCCACATATCTATTTCTCTCTCATCCCTCCATATCCTCTCGCTCTTGAGAAACCTCACACTAAACACGCTCTTTCTCCTGACTTCAGTGAAAACTAGCCCGTTCAGCTGCTCTTCTTATAGTTCATCGTTCGTTCTTACAGACATGCCTACACTTACAATACAGCTGCCGGTACGTCCAGCACGTTCATTCACGGGTCGCCACTCTTATAATCCCCACAGGATGGCATCATCTCGCAACCAACCTTAGACGAGTTCCGCGAGCGATATGCGGCATTGCAGCAAGCCATTCTTCAACAACGTACCATAAAGGCCCTCGAGCAACTCGGCGAGTTCCCAAGAAACCTCTGGATCAAAATCCTCCTCCATATTAGCTGGCGTGATCTCATGGCATTTCGACAGGTGAGTGATGGTTGTTCCTCGAGTCCTCGCCGCCTGACTGTATCCAAGGGCTGTCGGCTCTTTTCCGATATAGTGAGCCTTTCTGTAGCACTGCAGTACAAGATAGAGCTTGGACACGCGGGGCTCATCGATGGATCTCCCGAAGCGCCTCGCCGACGTCGATTGGAGGTCCTGCACAAATTACAGAGAAGCTGGCGTACTCCGTCGTTCTCCATCCCCGTGTATGGGTACTTGCAGCATACATACAGCGTGCTTTCCTGCGGAATTATGGCTCAGCTCGTTGCAGCAGACACAATTGAACTTTCGTTGCTTCCGTCGTCATTGAGAGGGCAGCTCAAGCCTCTCTTGTGGAAAACCATAACAGTACCAAATGTCTCAAATATTATGTGCTTCTACGTGGATCCCGCCCAAGACCTGCTGGTCATTCAGGACAGTATGAGCGAACCAACATATCATGGGTCGGTTTTCTGTTATTTATTTTATATCTTCGCATCTGATACACCTCAAGGAGAACACATCTGCGTTCATTGGAAATGAATGGTAACAAGCATCCACTGGCAAGGGGTAGCCCATTTCTTGGAGCTCCCTCGCGATCCGTCATCGTGCAAGGGGCGCTTCTGGGATTTCCTTACCTTTGCGGAATGCACGTCCTAAATTGGCGCACAGGCAACGCAGTATGGGTAAGTCACTGGCAAATACGAGTGCTGCGCTTAGCACGATGTTTAAGTTTTAACTCCGTGCCTAGAGGATGCAGTTTGATGTAGCTGTGGACGGCTGCGCATTCCTGGATGAAGGCTTTCTCCTTGTCTCCGAAACCGACAGGCTATGTGTCTATCGTTTAAATCCGCATGCTCCCTGCGATTGGCAGTACGCGGATCGTGGTAGCTATGTTTGTTCAATGCACTATCCTGTGCTTTACGATGACATCACATTCCGGCGTACTCTTATTGATCAAGAAGCGCGAAGCTACAGGTCACAGGACAATGCTCCGTTTCATGCCGATCCAGCAGTTCGCAACCTGTTCTCGCTCACTATGTATGTGCAGAAGTACTCACAGGCGGAACACATCTTTCATATATTGCTACCCGCGACAACAATCTACAAGTGTATCCGACGTGTGATCTCTAGGAAGGTGGCGCGAGATGTTGCATGGGAGAACTGGGGACCGATGGGGACGCGCATGTTTGAGCAGCCTACCGGACCTTCCAAGACTTTCGTGTCGTCCAGCGTGCTTGCGTCGCAATGTCTGACCACATGCCGCGCCAGGGAGAAAGAACGTCCACATCTCATCAGCATATATGAAACAAACCCTATGCTCGTCACTCGGGAGGCACGAAAACACAGGGTCAGGGAAGGAAAATCAAAAATGATAGCCCAAAAAATCCTATATGATCTCGGTCCCTCCAATTTAACTGCAGAATACCTCTTCAAGGACGTCATTACGACGTCATGGCCATACAGATTGGTTCAAGTCGAAGTTCCTCATGCTGTGGGCGACATTGTAAGGACAGTACTCCTCGAAGACAGTGTTTTGGTTCAGGTATGTGGTCTAATGAGAATTTGTGCGGCCGGAGTTGACCGAAGACGCCTCTAGACATTCGACGGAACCGCCGACACATTTTACGCTTACCGTGTGCTGCAGTAGCAGACACTTGTCCATGGATAATGCATGCTGGTCATGTCGCGAGCCGACCGTGATCCACGGAGGTAGATCCAATACTGTCACTCTCTTCCTCTTAGTAGTGTGTATCTATCACGTTATATGCATCATATTCGCGGTCTTTGGTGGTATCTCATGCAATATGGCTACTCTATGTTGAGGTCGTTGCGTCCACTTGTACACTTGAGTGATGTACTTGTTACGGACGCGCATATGCTCTTGCGATGGCAGGGGGAAAGTGCCTAGAAATGTCTGCGTGTGTTTTCTACATGAAACTCATAAAACTAGTTGATCCATCTCGTTCTCGAAGACAGGTTTGCTAGCAGGGACGGGCCAAGTCAACAAATGCTGTGTAACATTATAGATGGGAACCGTCAGCGTAAGGAGGGTGGTCGGCGAAGGTCCGAGCCGAGCGTGGCGATAGATTTGGTAGTCTGAATATGGACATGTCGGTACAGGTCATTGGGAATAGACAGGTGCACCATACCCTTGGACGTGGCGGAGCGCCCATAGAAGATACCCCACCGTGTCCCCGGGCGTTGGTGGGTGTGCTCTGCGAAGATGAGCGCACATGGTGAGCTCATACGTGAGAGACCGAGCCAATGCCCACCGCAGGATTCACCTGGCTTGATTGGCATCTAGCCCAGATAACTAAATGTCATTGATAGAGTGTTAGGCCTGAGGAAATTGACTGGTTGAGGAAATTGACTGGTGAATAAGATTCTAGGCGGGAATGACAATGATCTAAGTGAGAACGACAGATCTGTGGCAAAGTAAGGAACTTGCTGAAGCGCGAGATAGGAATGCAATCCATAGTCGTTCATTATGTTAAGCCCATAATGGTACAGTATTTCGTAACAATGGAGTCATGCTAGCACAGGAAATGTCGATATCATGGCACATGCTTAGACACGCTCAACGGACTTGTTCTTGATTGTATATGTTTATGATTATTTCAGCTTACTAGAACATGCCGAAAAAAGGACCAGATCGTGGGCGAGACTTGTGGATGGGGGGCAAGACAGATAGCTGTGGAAGCTGCTGGATAGGTGGGAGAAGTGCACTGTATGTCGAGGCGACTGTCCAGCTGGTGTGTGTGGGTGTGTGTGGTTTTCACGTAGCACCGTACGCAAGGTACCCATCATTGTGTTGCCTCGGTTCTTCTGATTTGCGTCAAGGCTGTTGTCCTCCTTCGATGTCTTTTCAGTGGCTTCTCGTGCTGTGTACATGATCTCGTAGAGCTCTACATCTTCTCCATCATCGTTCGTGTTCCAGGCTCGTCACTCCGTTGACGCCAGAGAACGATTCTGCAGTGCCCGCTTGTGGATGTCGGCTCTCAGTAGGAGGATTCCTGGAAGAGACGGATCGCTCATAAGCCGGTAGATGCAAGGAGGCAAGAAGAACTAACCTGCGCGCGGGACGCTTGAGCAGGGTGCGCTATCGGTAGTACGCAGTGACGATTGAATCAGAAAAGAAATACGAAGGGCGTAAAGGTCGAAGTGCTGTAAGAAAAATGATGTGAGGATTGCGCTCGTGAAGTGAGAGGCGGGGAATCCTGATTCTGCTCAGCGTAAACGTATGACTTATGAACGGAAGATCAGGCGCCTATTCTGTGGCACAACAGTGTTTGTGGTAGCGTCACATCGACGAGACAAAAGGATACAGGCCAAGGCGGCATACGAACAGAACGAATTGGTGTCCCCTGACGTCATGGAGATATATTGACAAAGCGCGTGACTAATGAGATGGCGATAAGGCGTAGTGCTTGAGCGTGGCATGATGAGACGGGACAGATGAGAGCAACGTGTCGCTTTCAACATTCAGCAGGGCGCATTTCGGCATATCGAAAAGAATCGAGCAAGCTTCGTACGTGTTACAAGGTAAATTGGTGATTCGTAGCAAGCAAAAGCGTGTTGGGCATCCTCTTCTCGTGAATGGGGTGAGAGTACGTGACCACCGAGGACGGGTGACCTTCAATGGCTGCAGTGCAAATATGTCGAAGCAAAATCAGCGGCAGAGTTCGATGAAACAAGGGTCTCACTGACGTTCATGTCCTAACCTCTGATACTCCTAAGATACTCAGCATGACTCATAGTGAGTCCAAAAAGGACAATGCTCCATGATTCCAAGGCAGATTAAATAGGAAGGTGAGCGCGGTTTAGCAAAAGACGACACGCGTGGAACAGCCCTAAGAGAGCAGCCTGTGAACGTTCGTCGACCCTTTAAATGTGTTTGAAGCTCATGATGTCGTACACAGAAAGTCGTATTCCGTGCATGTCAAAAATACAGGAGCCGAGTTTAATCCGACTCTACATGAGAGACGGGAGGCCTATGAAAGTGTTATATTAGAAGAGATAGATACAGCCAGTACCGGAGAGTTGTTGACGCCCATGACGTAGCGTCTCTGCGTCACAGCTCGTGACGCCGACGGGAAGTCACGCTCACTCACAATCGACTGGAGCTTGCGATCTCGATATTAACAACAACCCTCTTGAGATGTGCTATCTGTCCCGATTCCACTGGCGAATATCTTATGTGTATACTCCAATCTGGACACACTGATCGTCGCCGATACACGCAAAGAATGATAACAGAAACTACCAAAATGCAAGGTTCGATAGGGATTACAGCGATCAGGATGGTATGTAGCAATATGGCGACACATGAGTAACACTGGCATCGTGTGGTAAGTCTTAATGCACTACGAACTGCAGATCATTGAGACAAACGAATGAAGCGGCGCATCAGACAGCAAACATGTGCGTGGTATTTCCCCGCTTCGTCGCCATCTACCCGCTGCCTCGGAGTAATATAGCCGTCAATGTCAGTTAGGAATCCCAGCACGTATACCAGGTTCTCCATGCTCATACCAAGCTCTGCAGCCCGCCAGTGAATTGCAGCATCATTGACTTCGTCGATCTGTGTGCTCGCTTCACCGCCATCGCCAGTAGAGTCCTGTGAGCCATTGCAGCCTGTCTCTTTAACATGTCGGTCTCTTGCATCCTTCCGCGCCCAGGTCTTTCCGCGGCAGTCACATACGAATTGCTTGATGTCAAGACAGCCCAGCAGATGCCGATGAAATTCGTGGTAGCGATCAAAGCTCTGATGTCCACATTCCTTCCGAGGGCAAAAGAATCCCTTCTTCTGTGCAGGCGCAGAAGACGCTGTCTTTTGCTTCTTATCCTTCACATTGCAGACGTTGATGTCGTTGCAGTCAGCGCTGAAACTCTTTCGCTTCGACCTATGGCTGAGTTGCGATGGGCGCTTTACCCCTCGAGTTGCAGTTGAAGGGCCAGCGTAGCCCTCCTTTATACCGTCGTCCATTGCACTCCAAGTCTCCTCCTCCGCAGCGGTGATCCGTGAAGAAGGCTCTTGGGTCTCTAAAGTGCCCTGCGACGTCTGGTGCGAGGACTGCCGACACCCACCACCCCTTTGTCCGGCTGTCGACCTCAGAGGGAGGTGCTGCTGATGTCTTTCGCTTGCCGACTGTGATGCTCGGCCGCGAGACCGAGTCGCGTATGCTTCTGCATCGGGCACAGCATGTGCGCGTTTTGTTCGCCTTCTGGTGAGCCCATCTGCATACTCATCATTACTGTCGGAGCCGCTGTCAGTATCGTCATCTGCGCCCATGTCGATGGGGGTATTGTCGTATCTCATGTGTGTCTTGTTCTTGCCCATTGTACGTGGGCCAGGGATGGCCACGCGAGATACACAAGCTGTCCTGTCCTGTATGCCTTGTGACTTTCTCACACCGCCACTCATCGCGGCCTTTGTCGGCGCCTTGAGTTTGCGCCCCTTAGTGCGGCCGGGTTGGGATCCGACCCATGACCCGACAGATGGATCCGCGAGCGTGAGTGCAGGGTCCACTGCAGGAAGTTCCTTTGGGATCACGCCCAACGGCTGAGTGGCACCTTTAGCTAATCATCATTGAAATTAGGCGACTTGTCGAACGTACGTCAGGATTTTGCGCTAGCAAGCGCTCTTGTACGTCCTCATCGAAGATACCTTCGTACCCAGCATACTGGGTGTACCGTCTATTCTCGACGCTAGCATTTTGGTTGGAGGTGTCTCGACCGCCATCGCACTTACAATCACCGACGAGGTGGCGGAGACGGTGCTCCGTTCGTCGATACTGCTCGACGATGGCAGTCGTCTTGTCGCACCAGACGACAAGTACCTGTTCATCGCGCTGTCCCCCATCGTGAGCATTCTGACTGTTGATATTATGGTCTGTGCTTACCACCAGCGCGCCATCATACAAGTATGCATTGTCCAAGGCATCAATGCATGGGACAATGGGTATCTGGGAGCCGGAGATATCTACACCGTTCTCCACATTGCTACAAAGAAAGGGTGAGCTCGAGTGCAGTGCTCTAGCTCTCAATGAGAACACTTACAAACAGCGAAGGGTGTCCTCGACAGCCTTCGTCCTAGCCTTCACTGCGACTTCGCATCCAAGTCGTGAAGCCGCGGCAGCAAAAGGCAGGTCGCTGCTATCCGATGTGAGGACGAGCTGATCCGTGTATAGGCATACAGATGTATAACGCTCGTCACCCGAGATGTCCTGAATGGACATCTCGAGTAGCTCAAGGATGGTGATCTGGTTCTCAATGGTGTCCATGATGACTGATAGGAGTGAAGGGGATAGATGGAATATGGGGGAGGTCAAATCGCGTCTGTGGCTGAGGTCGTTTATGGGTCCTTTATTATGGGCGTCTTCCCCACTTTGGAAGCCCGCACGGTTCAGCCTCGTTGCAACACATCGGACTCGAAACTCAGGTGGTGGGCGAGCTACCTGGCGCCTTGGTCCGCAGGCAGGTAGCGGTGTACTTATCAGCATGTTTCAAAGCAGTTCTAATTATAAGGGCTATCCCGATTCGTACAATAATGCAATCAGTTCCAAAGTCTCCCCTGCATGCGTTATGCACAAACGAATGGCAAGCATTTTCCGCTTTTTCCACTTTGATGTAAGCCTTACACCCAGCCGCTTGAATCGAGCCACCCAATGCTCTGGACAGAGCCCAATGAAATCCCCGACGACAGGTTTAGTGTGATCTAACAGTTCGTTCTTCGACGCGCGTATTCTCAAGTTTGCCACATACTGAGCACTTCTTTCAGGCCAACATCTCAGCCAATAATGATGCCAAAACAGGATCACAAGTTGAAGAGCGGGCCTGTATGGACTACCCGTCGGAGGTTAGGCAATTTGACCATCCACCCGCTAACACAATGCTACAGGGGCGTCATATGCATGATCCGTGAAGAGAACTCCAGTTCTGGCACCCTGCCACACGCGACGGTATGTGCTGGTTATTTGGTCCTGTGCTCTAAGCTTGAATTGCTGAGCGCTAGCCCAGACGTGGCCAGCGAAGTCACGTTACCCCAACGGTCTGTTATAACTCGCCTCAACCAGCCACAACGGTCTCTTACCTTTTTCCGCATCCATCATCTGCCTTTGTGAACGCCACTCTCCTTGGCAGACACAATCCACCCGATACCATCTCTTTGTGCAACAAAGAACACATACTATTATCCACAATGTCCACCACTCGTAGCGAACGCCACTCAGTAGCCAACGATTCTTCTGCCTTCCCCGTGGTGGCATTTGAATCCCAGCGCGCGGCAGACGATGTATCCCAATCCACCACCCGCGCTGTCCCTGCCTACGCTGCGGTGGGCAGCCCCGATTATGCGTACTTTGAGTGGGACGCGTCCCAACCGGTCCTATCACCAGCCATCTCCGCCAGCCCACCAGCAGCTGTCATATCCGCTAGCACACCCTCCCCCATCACATTTTCTACCAGCACATCAAGCACCTTGAGGCCGGCCAAGCGTCCTCGCACAGACGACGACGCGCCGCGAGGCTCGCTGAAAGTGCCGCGGCTGGCTCAGGAAGGGGGATCATCCTCTCCTGAAACTGCCACAACCGAGATCCCGCCTAAGCGCAAGCGTGTGCGCAAAAGCGACAAGGGACTCGATCATATTCCGCGGCCATTAAATTGCTTTATACTTTTCAAAAACGATTACATTCGGCGGCAGCGCGAGTCCGGCTACGAAGTGATGTCGAAGAACATCCTGAAGGAGATTGGTGAGTCAAGTGTATCGTTGTATGTATGGCATGTGTCTGAGCTATCATTTCGTCGTCGCCGTTCAGGCGCGATATGGCGCTCGCTTCCCCATGATCAGTCTCAGTACTGGAAGGAAAAGGCTAAGGGCGTCAAGGCAAAGCACGAAATAGTCAACCCGGGCTATACATACAAGCCCGTACACAAAAAGAAGATGGGAAGGCCTCCAAAGGGCGAACCTCGGATGAGCGACAATGCTGGAGAGCTGGAAGGAGAGAAGGGGAAAGAGAACGACCTGCGGCCGGAAGAAGACAAAGTGGACAAGCCAGCGGATACATTGACTAAGAACGAGGATGGTCGCGCTGTAGAAACTATGCGAGCGGTGGCGGTTCGTCAGGGTGATAGTCTGTGGCGTTTACAGGCTCAAGCTCACCTTCCGCTCCATGTGTTGCCCCTTCCACAAAGCGCCCTCACAGTGCAGTATGCTGAGACAACCAGTGGATGGCCTAATGCGACGCAAGCAGTGCTGCAGTCTCAGTCGCAGTTCACATCGGCGGTGACGTCATTCCAGCAGGCGGGACCGTCCTGTCTCTCCAGCCCTCATGCATGGCAGCCGGCCCATCTAAACCCAATGCACTCCCAGAACATGAATGCGGCAGCGTATAATGGCGTTGTCTGGCCTGATGTCGCATATTCCGCGACATATCATTTGGTGCGTCCATCCATCCATACCTTATCTCGCTCTTACGACTGACAATACTCGTGTGCCAGGGCGACATATATGCGCAACATGGTGCCCCATCACTAATGAATGGCTTTCGGGCCGTGGCGCCAGTTCCAATCCACAACGCCACACCGCGTCTTGCCTACCTGCCATCCCAACCATACGCATACCCAGGGAGCATTTCTGCACTCCATCAGTATCCAGTAACTGTACAATCAGCACCTCCGTATGTGATGCAGACGCCCGGCGGCTATTACGACCCGAGCTCGTCCTGCGTTGTGGACCGCGCGTTCTCCCAGTCCGCTCCTCCGAAACCGAACGCACAAGGACCCTCGGAAGAGGATGTGGCACAGATGCTCGCCGTGCTTGAGGAGCAAGAATTGCTTGTCTCACAACATAGGGATTCTCCCGACTTGGAGACACCGCTGACGTTCCCGGCACCGGTCCACGACCGCCTCATGGCACCCGAAGAGCTGCCGCAGAGTGCAGGCCGGTTTTCTGACATGCTTCGAGACATTGATCGATGGTCAGACTCCCAATAGCTGCAATGGTCTGCATCTCGACTCTGGAGTATTTCTACTGTATTGGGGCATAATTTATCCGTATTTACTGTCTGTATCGTGCTTTGCTCGTCTTGTGTATCGCGCTCGTGTACCAGATTCCTGCCCGCGTCTGATTGCTCTGTCTGTTTGTCGCAAGCTATCGCAGTTTCATTGCTGTACCTAACCTGACCCTAAGACAAGAGGATCTCGATCGTAGATCGTGCCACGTCCCGGCGCCTAAGTGGCTCATCCTATCTTTTTATTTATTTTAAATTCCTCGGGTTTAGACTCCATACGGCGTAGGTACATGCAGAGTGAGATCGAGCCATCAGCGGCACCTAATAGTGGGCTCCACGCCCGAGTTCGGACCGGCACGGTGAAGTGCAGATCACACGGTGTCGTCGGTCGCCCTACAGGTTTCGGGCCGACAAAGAGCCCCCCGCCAATGGCGCAGGGGACCGTCCTCGCGCAGCGAACGCCGCGTCGGTGGTCCGACAACGAGGCAAATGAACAGAACGGGGGGCGGGCAGGCGGCGCTCCCTCCGAACTTCAGGCATCATGCCGGACGAGCGGCGCCCGGAGGGGGGGTAGTGGACAGCGGGGCATCAAGAGCCAGAGCGCGCTCCTCCCACAAGATGAGTAGATTCTCCGCGCAAGTTTCCACGTCGCACCACTCAGTGAAATCTGCGAAGTCCGCGCTCAGGGACGACGTGAGTGCCGGCGCCTTACGGCGTGTCCGGGGCTCATCCTATCGAGCAAGAATCAAAGCGACTCTACGTGTTACGTGGCGATTGAAATGTTTCATTAACCCACTATACGGTTCCTCGAGAGACAATCAGTGTTAATATGTGGTGAAGAAAATGCTCGACTGCGATCACCCTGAGTCAACTACATCACCATCGCAACGGCTGCACAAAAGGCTCAGGAGCACCGTTCAGCTTGCAACCAGCAGAGAAAGGGACATTATATGTCAGGTATGCATTCACATACCCCCCCTTTATACTAGGTTTTGCATTCGTTTCACCGTAGCATTAGTTCAGTGACCGATGGGATCAAAACCACGCGACGTTGGGGCTATCCGATACCGGTCCCGACACTGGCTCCATCTTCAATCAACGCTTATTTGAACACGCTGTATTGGTACGAGCTAAGTATTCCTTCCTATTTGAAACACGCTTAGATCTGTGTAGATTTTCTTCGCTGTTAGCATAAATGCTTGCTACTCATTCGACAGTCTCAACATACTGTGCCCCTGACCCTCGGCGTATGACCCGAGGAATCCGCAAGACATCTGACTTTGAAGGGACGGTGGGTACGGTACGTGATCGCTAGACAACATCATCGCCACGAGTCTCCTCTGCTTTATCCTGAAAACAATACTCCACACTTATCGTCATCTCTGTGCTGCTGCTGTTCAAGGTGATTAGCGGAACTACTCTCGAGAAGCCATTTGCTTACCCCTCGGAGATGATCCGAGAAACTGCCTGCTCAATCTTTGCTTCGCTGTAGGCCCATGTTAAGCGCGGCCAGTGATCTTAGCACCAGTCTGCTTTTGACCTTGTCAGATATTGTACTCCACGTGCGGGTGTGCACGAAAACGCCACCAGATTGTCTGCTAGCGAGCGGAGATGTGGCTCTACGAGCGCAGGCAGGTAAGGTGAGTAGTTCGATCACTGGGCGATGCTAGCGTATTCCGACTCGTCCTTGTCAAAATATATGAACCTCCACGGTTATCGTGTACAGTTCTCGCCATGCTTAGTCTTCTTCTGCATGACCTTGGCGAGTGGAAGATTTTCACAACACTTGCACCTAATGAAGCGCGCAGGTTCGCTCACGCTCTCCAGGTTTTTGTTTCAGCTAAAGACCCTTCGGTATTTGGAACGCATCCGAGAATACGTTTACGCAATGTGGAATCTATGGCTTGTAGGACACGTCTTATGCATCGTAATCGCGCACGACAATGCAGACATATCATGGATGCGATTATTGCCGACAAATTTATCAATGCGTCCCTCAAGTCATACCGTCGTGTGGAGGAGACAATGAAGTGCACTGCACGAGCCAAATGGGAGCTTATATAAGCACTCACCAGCATTCAACTCGATTGACTTCTCAATTGTGCTCGTGAGATATGGGCGCCATGTGTTGCTATCTTGGTAATTGCTCTGTCCTTGCCGAGTCAAGGTGCGCTTTCCATACAGCCATGGAATTATTCCGCTGTCCTATAAGAACTACATAATTCGTGTATGTTTCATGTCCAATTCTATCCCTTGTTGCTACTCTTCCATGGTGCGGTGCCATGGTTTTCTTCCGTCCGAAACGGCGAATGCTGTTCATTTTTCCACGCGTGTACTCTCACGTTTGCTACATACTGAACACTTCTTGCAGACCGACATCTCAGCTAATAATGACGCCAAATCAGGATCAGTCAAACATGCACAAGTTGGAGAGCGAGCCAGTATGGACTACACGCCGGAGGCTGGACAATTTGACCGTCCGCTCGCTGACTCGGTGCTACATGGGCTCCATCTGCATAATCCATGAAGAAAACTCGAGTTATGGCACCCTGCCGCACACGACGGTACGTGCTGGTTGTTTGATCCTGTATTCCAAGCTTAATTTGCTGAGCGCTATCCCAGACGTGGCCAGCGAAGTCACGTTACCCCAACGGTCTGTTACAACTCGCCTCAACCAGCCACAACGGTCTCTCACCTTTTTCCGCATCCATCATCTGCCTTTGTGACCGCCACCTTACACCGCAGGTACAATCCACCCGATACCACCTTTACTCACAACAAAGAAAGCATATCATTATCCACAATGACCACCTCTCGCGACGAACGCCACTCGATGTCTTACGGTTCTTTTGCATTCCCTGTTGTGGCATTTGAGGACCAGCACGCAGCGGATGTCTCACAACACACCACCCGCGTCATTCCTTCCTACGCTGCGGTGGGCAGCCCGGACTACGCGTACTTCGAGTGGAATGCATCCCAATCGATCCCTTCCCCAACCATCTCTGCAAGCCCTCCCTTCTTCGTCATCTCCGCTAGCCCGCCCTCCTCCGTTCCATCCTCCACCATCCCACCCAGCACCTTGAGGCCAGCCAAGCGTGCTCGCCTGGACGATGATGTGCTGCAAGGCTTGCCGAAAGTGCCGCGGCTGGATAAGGAGGCGGGCCCATCCTCTCCTGACGCCACTGCTTCTGAGATCCAATCAAAGCGAAAGCGGGTGCGCAAAATCAACAAGGGCCCTGATCACATCCCGCGGCCATCAAATTGTTTTATATCATTCAAGAACGATTATATGCGGCGGCTGCGCGAATCCGGACACGAAGTGATGTCGAAAGGCATAGCGAAGGAGATTGGTGAGTCAATCCTATCGCTGTATGTATGGCATGTGTCTGAGCTATCAATGTCATCTTAGGTGCTATATGGCGCGCGCTTCCCCCTTATGAGTCCCAGTACTGGAAAGATCAGGCCGAGGGCGTCAAGGGCCAGCACAAAAACGTATACCCGGGCTATACATACAAGCCCATACACAAGAAGAAGACGGAGAGGCCTCAAAAGGGCGGGCCTTTGATACAAAACGGTGCTACAGAGCTGAAGGGACAGGAGGGGAAGGAGAACGACCCGCGGCCGGAGGAAGACAAAGTGGCTAAGCGAACGGATACTTTGACTGAGAGCGAAGACAGTCGCACTGTAGGAAATATGCGAGCGGTAGCAGATCACCAGCATGATAGTTCACCAGCTCTACAGGCCCAATCCCATCCTCCTCTCCATGCGTTGCCTCTTCCACAAGGTGCCGTCACAGCACAATATGCTGAGACAAGCAGTAGATGGTCTCATGCGACACAAGCAGTGTTACAGTCCCTGCCGCAGGTCGCATCGGTGGTCCCGTCGCTCCAACAGGCGAGACCGTCTCGTCTCGCGACGCCTCATTCATGGCAGCTGGCCCGTCCAAACCCAATGTACCCCCAGAACATGAGTGCGGCAGCGTATAATGGCTTTGTCCAGCCTCATATCGCATATCCCGCGACATATTATTTGGTGCGTCCTTTCATCCATAATTTATCCCGCTCCTACGACTGACAATGCTTGTGTTCCAGGATCGCGATCATGCGCAACATGGGGTCCCACCACAAATGAATGGCTTTCAAGTCATGGCACCAGTGCCAATCCACGACGCCACACAGTGCCCTGTCTACCTGCCATCCCAATCATCCTTATATGCAGGGAGCGTTGCCGCCCTCCATCAGCATCCAGCGACTGTACAATCCGCACCTCCATATGTGATGCAGACGCCCGGCAGCTTTTACGACCTGAGCTCGCCCTACACTGGGAACCGCGCGTTCTCCAAGTCTGCACCTCCGAACCCCACTGCACACGGTCCCTCGGAGGAGGACGTCGCATGGATGCTCGCAGTGCTTGAGGCGCAGGAATCACATATCTCACCACATAGGGATTCGTCTGACTTGGGGACATTGCTGACGTTCCCGGTGCCGGTCCAAAACCGCCTCACGGCCCCCGAAGAACTGCCGCAGAGTGTAGGCCGGCTCTCTGACATGCTTCGGGACATTGATCGATGGTCAGACTCCCAATAGCTGCAGTAGTCTGCATCTCGACTCTGGAGCATTGCAACTGTATTGGGGCATATTTTATTTGTATTTATCGTGCTTTGCTCGTCTTGTGTATTGCGTTCGTGTACCATATACCAGTTCGTGTCTGATCGCTCTGTCTGTTTGTCGATAGCTATCGTAGTTCTCCTGCTGTGATACCTCGCTATAGTAATCATCTCTCTGTCCACGTCTGACAAGACGCCTCAATGGTCTGTGTCGCTTAGTTGTCGAAAAACGTATAACAATGCCAAAGTGGCAAGGCACAGTGTGTTAGTGGCAGGCCATCGATATCATAGGTCGAAGTACGACCACAATGAAAACGTGCCTGTTTAAAGGAGGGGAATTTGCAATGTACATCATGGTGACAATATTGTTTCATGAGAGCTCGATGATGGAGCAGCTAGGACGACGCATACACTTATCACATTCTTTCACCTAAGCTCAAGAAAAGGACGAAAATTCACTAGCTGCTATGCTAGTTTATGAATTGCTGCTCTGTTGTTTACATCTATATGGGGACGTAAACGTTTTAGGAGCGTATCACCTCAACGTATAGAACATCGGGATAACGCGCTTTAGTCAAGTACTGGGCTATTTTCACCCTTTTCAACGTTCTTGGTGAGACCGATGTCTTTGGTGCAGTTTGAGAACAGAAGGAGAATAGAAGCTGACCAATTCCGTCTTCCCTGAACAATTGGTGGCATCTTCAAAGCATGACTGAGGGTAACTATGAACGGTCAGAACCAACTTTTCATACAGCGGGTAAGCTCGTCGACGGCACACAGGTATTCCTGTCAAGCTTTATCTTGAGAGAATATGAGTTAGAAGGACCACGGCACAGAGGGCATAGTGGCACCATGAGCGAGCGAGCTGTAAGATTTCGGTGTCGTGAGCTTCACAGAAAAAGGGTATATTTGACGAGACAGTGATATAATGTACCTAAAAACAAGGCAATGTACAGAGAATGTACGGAGTCACAGATATATATTGGCAGCATATTAGGAGAGATGTGGGGATGAATTGCAACGTATGGCCCCATTAAACGGAGCAGGGTATTTGAAGGAGAATTCGCTATTACTCTTCCTGAGACGTAGCAAATTTACTGAATGCAGCTAGGGTGAGCACGAGTTACTCAGTGGACCTAATTGAATGGTTCGCGGGTCAGTACTTGTATACAGTGAGGCAAGATGTGCATCGCTGACTACGAAGTGGACAAACCTATGCGAAGGTCAGATTGGATGGGGCATTCGCGCCATTGGAATCAAGAATGCGTAATCCAGCCATGACCGCAAGTCGAGGATAAGAAAGAAACATTCTCTACACATCTCAGCAGTGTCTTATTCATAGGGTTGAAATAGGATCGGTCACGAAACTCGCCGGCGACTGCCGATTCCCACGTGGGCGTCTATCGCGTGCCCAAAGGCTGTCCAACGTCGCTCAGGCTAACGCAGTCACCAGCACGACCTACCAGATACGGCGCAGAACATGGCCATGCTTTCTTTCTTGCGAACTGCTAGCTACCCAGTCAGGTACAGGTGCATCCTTTCCGAGGATGAGGTCAATGTCTGTGGTCGCATACAAGGCGTAGGGCGCGTGGTTTGAGGGCGGAATGGCAATAGTCATACAGCTTGACACTAGATCGTTACTGCGAAAGGTGCAGTAATCGGTCTTTCAATAACACAAGACGCAATCCCTTACAGCAAAACCAATATTGATAGACCTCCCTCACAAAAAGTACAGATAGGTGGCATGGAGCATTATGGCACTCGGCATCTCGGGGTGACGGGCACTCATTCCTCAGAGATTTTTTTGCGGAACTCATATAAAGTAATTTATACCAATGCCTCAATATTCGTCTGTTTGTTGAGGTCTACTGTCGCGACTTGAGGTCAAGCAACAGGGGAATATCTGAAGGCGGGGGGCGTTCAACTGGTTCTCACCAAAGCGATGGTGAGCGAGGCTCAAACCTAAGGCTAGGGACAAGATAATATATTAGTGAGTGAAGTAAGAAAGGATACAAAGGAGGGCTTACTGACCTAGGGACAAGAGGTCGAAACTGAGGTCCCTAGGGCAGCAGAGGCCGGCTTATATACATGAGGAGATAAGGGCAGGCTGTGCACGCTGGTCCGTGCGCAGCTGGTCCGTGTGCAGCATGCTGATGCGGCCCCGGGGGTGTCGCGACTTAGGGTCGAGCGACAGGGGAAACACAGACTTGGAAGGATGCTGGGGGCGTTTGACTGGGTCTTACCGAAGCGATGGTGAGCAAGGCTCAAACCTAAGGCTAGGGACAAGAAATGTATTAGTTAGTAAAGGGTAAGTAAGGATACATGGGAGCTTACTGACCTAGGGACAAGAGGTCAAAACTGAGGTCCCTAGGGCAGCAGAGGCCGGCTTATATACATGGGGAGATTAGGGCAGGCTGTGCGCGTTGGTCCGTGCGTGCTGGTCCGTGCACAGCATGCCGACGCGGCCTCGGGGGCCGGTGAGTCAGAGCGGCTGTGTCAGCGGAGCCCGAGCTGTGCCGCGCACTGCCGCCCCATCTAATCTTATCGTACAGTAGATAACGACGTGTCCGTATCAGGCAGGTAGTACAGAGGTCGCGGGTTCGAGCCCGCGAAAAGGAAAAATTAAAAAAATGGCTAGACGCCGTGCCAACTCGTGACATTACCCCCCCCTCAACGGCGCATGACCTCATGCGAGGCGCCCTTGCCCATCTCCCACCCGGAGCGGCAACGTGCTTCAGTCAATGGCGAAGGCATCGGGTGGAAGTTGAGACCACCAAATGTAGCAGCATTGAGGCGGCGAGGGGCGTTCGGGTTCTTCCGATGGAAGTCGGCTATGAGGGCCGGCGCATTAGCAACATTGCGCGCCGGTTCCCATGACGTATGCGAGTCGTCATAACCCTTCCACTTGACGAGGTACTGCAGCTGATGCCGGAAGATCCTCGAATCTTTGATCCGCTCAACCTCATATTCCTCGTCGCCCTCAACCTCGATTGGCAGGC